TGAGACAGGGATACCCGCACGAGTATATACAATAGCTGGAGGTTTCCTATCACAAACACATTTTTACAATGCTGTTTTATGTCTTTCATTGAGACAGGGATACCCGCACGAGTATATACAATAGCTGGAGGTTTTGCTATCATAAACACATTTTTACAATGCTGTTTTATATCTCTAACTGCATGCAAAGCCCACTCAGGACCAGCTGCGCCCTTACACTCCCCCCACATACACACCCTTCCTTCTCTCTGTGCTTCTTCCCCCTGCATCTACTGGTCTTTTTAAAGGAGCAAGGAATAGAAAATGCACGGCAGGAAACCTCGGCAAAGGGCAGGGAAAGAAGCAAGAAGTGTTGCCTGGCCTCCTGCGGGCTGGTCCCTGCCTGGAGGGCACAAAGCACTGCCTGCTCTTCCTTTTTGTCTGTCACTCCTGCTCAGCCCTCCAGCATCTCACTCCCCCCTCGCAAGCCCCTCTTTGCAGGCTGCAGAATTCAGAGTCATTCCAAGAAAAAGAAAAATCTGTTTTCTAAAAAAAAAAAAAAGACCCTCTAAACCCACTCACTGTTCATGGTACCATTTCAAGCTTTTCTTCTCCTTCACCCACACTCCCATTTCAGCCGCTTCAATCCCTCCTTCCCAGTCAGAGGGGGCAAGATGGGTCTTTAGGAAGCTGGACCGAAGCAGCACAGCATCCCGGGCTGCCATCCTGAAGGCAGAGCCGAGCAGGCTCCCGGGCAGCCGCGCTGTGATTGCCGGCACTGCTGCAGGAGGGAGGAAGGGCTCCCCTTGCAGCATCTCATTTCACCCAACGCCATCAGAGGACCGCTCCCCTGTAGCATCTTCCAACCAAGAAATGTGAGCTGTGCAAGAAATCTGGGGCTAGAAAGCCCCGAGAATACACAAAAACCCATCCAGGTTCTTCTGGTTGGCTTTGTGGGATTTTTTAGGGCATTACTGACTCTTGCCCATGTTTTGCTCTCCACTACCCATTTAGGCAATATATGATCTTCACAAAACAAAATGTAATTTCTGATTTCCTTACATCCAGCTGCACCGTTTGCATTTTTTTCTTAGGGAAAACAAAAAAAAAAAAAAACAACAAAAAAAAAAACAACAAAAAAAGCTCTACGATGTTACAAAAATAATATCTAATTGGCACGTAGCAGCATCTTCTAATGGCACAATGAAATGGCAGCAATACTTTAAATTGGCAAGTTTATCACACGTGTATTCATATTAAAATAAAAAGCCCACCTGCTATCTTGCATCAGAGGGGTGTGTGTGTATGGGGGAGGAAGGGGAACAATGCTGCCATACCAGCTGCCTCCTCAGCACACAACTCCCCCGAAACCCACGAAGGGGAAGAAAAAAAACCCAAAAAAAACAAAAACCCAATCCAAACCTTCAGAATAATGATAAAAAAATATATAAAACTTGACGATTTTAGAAGCGCATTGATGTCAAGCCCCCGAGAAGCCGCCTGTCCTACCTGAGACGGTGCTGGCCATGCTGCGGCGGGAGCGGAGCTGTGCTGCAGGAGCAGGAGGGAGCGCAGGAGCTGCGGAGGTGCTGCAATGCTGCGGGGAGGGAGGACTGACTCAGCTGGAGGGGGCTGCAGCCATCCGCGGCAGGGAGAGGCTGGAGCGCCCAGAGAAAGGCGAGGGGTGGAAAGAAAAGGAAGGGTCACTAGTTCAGAATATTAATGAGCGTATCAGGCCTCCTTTCCTGGGTGGCTTTGACGGCAGATCCCTCCCAGGCAAGCCTGCCTGCCAGGAACACAGCCCCACGGCGGGGGGGTGAGACACACCCAGCCGGGCGCGGGCAAAAGAGGATTTTTTCCTCCTCTTCCTCCCTTTCTTGTCTGCTCGAGATGGGCTAAACTGATTTTTCCCTTACTAAAAGGAGAATTAAGCAAAATAATTGATTTTTTTTTTTTTTTTTTTTTTTTTTTAACCAGCCATTCCAAGGCAGCCTCACCTGCAAGGCCAGGCTGGACTGGGCTGAGATGTGAAACCCAAACCTTGCAGCAGCTTTAGGCAAACAGCAAAGGGAGGAGGGATCCCAGCAGGTTTTTAGGCATGGGATTAGTTCTTTTTTTTTGCACCAGCACTGAGGCACTAAAGGAGCTGCAGTTTGGGGAGAAAACTGCCGTAAAAGTAGAGGAGAAAGAGCAGAATGGAGCCTTTCAGTTTTAGTGAGAATTCTCTGGGTTTCTCCTCCACCCTAGGCATCAGGACCTCTTTTCTTATAATTTTCTGTCTGTTTTCTACAATTTCTATCATTTCCATTTTTGGCTATTGCCAGGGGCCAATGCTTCTGTGCTTTTAGAGCACCACACACACACTTGGGAGCAAGGAATCCTCCCAAACCCACACATCTCCTGGCACGCTGCAATGCAGACACTCCCAAACAATTCCAGCTGCTGCAGAGAACCACAGGTTGTTGGAATACTTACCAGTGCTCTGGCTTGCTCAGGGGTAGAAGCCACAGTAAATTCAGTTAGAAAGACTGGAGATTTTTCTACTTTCCTAGTTTTTCCCCAATCTCCCAGTGTCGTAACACCGTCACAGAAGAAAAGAAAAATAGAGAAAATGTCTAACTCAGAATAAAATGAACACTATCCACACATTTTCAAAATGTGTTTGCAAGATTTTTATGACCTTTAACTGCTCCCTGTTCTGTCCAAGCCTTATTTTGTAGTTCCAACTCTCTCTACTTTCTCCTTGGATTGAATCTCCAGGACTTGACAGATTATCTTGTTTCAAAAACACCTTTGCCATGATCAGAGGAAGGCAGCCATCCCAGGCACCCGACTGCTGGAGTGATTTCCCCCTTCTGTTCAGCATGAACTCTGGCTTTGATATTCCCAGCAGTCCCAAGAGGGTCTGGCTAACCCTTAGAACATTCTGGATCTTTTGGCATCAATCCAGCACACATTTTATTTCTTTTATTGAGGAGAGGCTGTAGAATGATTTAAAGGTGCCATGGCCATGTGTCCCACTGGAATACACTGTGAGAGAAACAGGGAGCAAATGATTTGGAGGGTCAAGGTGGAAAGCTGTGTTCTTATTTCCCAACAGTAAATGGACTGAAAGGCTCTGGACTATCAGGATTAGAAGAAATCCATAATTTGGTGGGCAACCAAAAGATTAAGAAAGACAACAAATGGCAACTCAATCCTCCTCTATCTCAAAAGAGGTCAATAACCTTCATACCAACCAGAGGATTTTCACATATGGCCCTCGTGGCTCTTTTGTCCCATTCCTGAAGGTTCCTGCTCCTCTGGCAGCATCTGGATCTCATCTGGAAAGAGAGATCCTGCCTGGGCAGACTCTGAACAAACATGGCCATGATTCACTTTGCACCCCTGCACAGCACCAGTGTTCCCCTTGCTGGTGTGGGTCAGCCACTTCCCCACAGAGATTGAGGACCATCTTCCACAAGGTTTTTATTTTGTACATGGTTTTTCTTTTTCTTGAAAATGAAAAATACTTTATCCAAGATCCTAAAATCCAGGAATGAGTGAGAAGTGGAGATGGGCAGGTTCCTCCTGGCTGGGCTGGCAGGGACAGGCTGGGCTGTCACAGCTCTCTGTGCTGCTCAGACAGTTTTGAAGTCTCTCTCCCCTCTCCAAACTCTGGCTTTATAAGAACTCAGGGTCTACCCTAGACAGACAAACACCAAGATGAAATCCAGTGTGAGATCAACACCTTTATTTATCATTTATCCCAACAGATACTGCAGATTCACTAAACCTCCACAAGAAGGAATGTATTTTTCTCTCCAAGCTCACAAGGCATTTCCTCTGTTGTGTTTAGAAGGCCAGCAGCAGGGCTGGAGGCAGCCTGCAGCCCTGCTCAGGTGAGGTCAGTGGTGCAGAGGAGCAGCCTGCAGGAGCTGCAGCCTGCAGGAGCTGCAGCCTGCAGGAGCTGCGGGTGCTGACTCACGGCTGCTGCTGGACAGGCACCTGCTGACTCACAGCCACTCCTGCTGGGCTGGCCACCTCCCAGCAGGTGACACTGCTCCCATCAGCTGCACGGAAACAAGGCAAAATAATCTCCTTTGATACACTACTGATATCGTTCTTCCGTGTGGGAAAGATGTATTTACAGGAAGTAACAACAACGGAGTATTCCATGTATTTATGAGGAGTTTTAAATTTATTTTTTCTCCCCTGAAGTTATCCCACAGTCTCATTTCACAGTCTTTACAAACCAATTTCTTTTGCAGCAGCATCATCACGCATGACTGGTATCAAAGTAAAGAGTTCACAGGCAGAAACATGAGCAAAACCAGCTGTTAAATTTTGTGTGGAGCACACAAGGTTCCACAGGAACAACTCAGTGTTCTCCAGCTCATTCCCTGCAATTAAAGACAGTTTATGATCCAGGGAAGTTCAGATCAAGGAATTTAAAGGCTGGCCACTAAAACAGCACCACCCATGAGCTCCCCTGACCCGACACCAGGACACAGGAGGTACCACGAGTCTGGGAACAGAACAGACCACACAATGCTTAACTTACATAGTTTAAGCTTTGCTCCTTTTAACATCAGCACTGTTCTGCACACAAACAAGCTGTGCAGCTGGCCAGGAGTAAAGCATTTTAAGGCTACAATGAAAGAAGCCACATCCTGTTCTATATCTATGCAGTGACAGCATGAGACACAGCAATAAACCACAGAGATGAGTACAAAGTATCTTCTTCCTGCCCTCTCTCTCATCTCGCTGCATGAAACACAGTTTTACAAAATTTGGGGATACAAGTAAGCCATTCCTATGCATTTATTAAAACCAGATTCTTACAAACTGGGCAATCCATCAATCCAGAGCAGTTCACCACAGTCACACGGCCTGAGCACCTGGAGTGCCAAAGCCGGTCCTGGATGTGCCTGGATGCACTGGCAGGGGGCTGAAGGGTGGGAGCACCGTGCTGCAGAAAAGCCGGGAACAAAGGCGCGGCACATCACCCCTAACAAAAGAGACCCGTCAGAATTCATTACCGTTCCTATCGCAGGGGCTCAGCACAAAGCCACAGAACCCTCCCACCTCAAACGCCGAGGGTTTCACAAAGAATCCCGCCGTGTTCTGTCTCTCCCGCGCGCAGCACCGCCCAAGGGGAGCAGGGCCCGGCACAAAGCACAGCAGGGCCCGGGCACCAACTCTGCCCAGGGCACCGCTTGCCGCACCTCCTGAGCCGCTCACAAGGGGACAAACGCCACTCCCGGGGGCCCCACAGGGCTGGGAGCTTTGGAAATGCAGCTTTTCGCGAGCGAACAGCCGGCACTCCGCCTCTCCGGGGCCGAGGCTCGGCCTCCGCCCCGGGGGAAGCGGCTGCGGAACCATCCGGCTGAACCACAGGGCCTGGCTGGGGAGCGGAACTGTCTTCCCTCACACCTGGCAGTGCTCAAACCGCACCGGGCTTGCGCCGCTCCTGCCCGGGGCCCCTCATGAGCCGCCACCAGCCCCGCTCGCTCCCCGACACCCCGGGCCGAGCCCGCCACGGCCGCCTCCTTCCCTTCCCCGCCTGTTACCGGGGCAACGCCGCCGCTCTCGCGAGAGCGCGCGCAGGAAGTGACGCGCCGAACGGCTGGGTGTGACACGTGACAGCGGCGCGGGGATTCCGAACGGAGCAGCCGGAGGTGAGGGAGCTCCGGGACACCGAGACACGGGGGCCACAGCGACACGGGAGCATGGGGACACGGGGGCATGGGGACACGGGGGCACGGGAACCCCGGAGAACAGGCATCGGGACCGCGGGGCTGAGGGGATACAGGAACACAGCGATATGGGGACATGGGAGCGCCGCAGCACAGGGATCTGGGACCGCCGGGACCGCGGGGCTGAGGGGACAGGGGATCACAGCGGTATGGAGACACAGGGACATGGGAACCCTGGAGCACAGGGATCTGGGACTGCTGGGACCGCGGGGCTGAGGGGACATGGGAACACAGCGATATGGGAACATGGGAGCCCTGGGGCACAGGGATCTGGGACTGCCGGGACCGCCGGGCTGAGGGAACAGGGGAACACAGCGATATGGGGACATGGGAGCGCCGTAGCACAGGGATCTGGGACTGCTGGGACCGCGGGGCTGAGGGAACAGGGGAACACAGCAATATGGGGACATGGGAACACGGGGACATGGGAACACAGCAATATGGGGACATGGGAACACGGGGACATGGAAGCACAGCAATATGGGGACATGGGAACACAGCAATATGGGGACATGGGAACACGGGGACATGGGGGCCCTGGAGCACAGGGATCTGGGACCGCGGGCTGGAGCGGGCGGTGCAGCCCGGGAGTGCGGGACCGGGTCCCGAGTGCCCGTGAGCCTCCTGCGGAGCCGCTGGCAGCCGCCCGGAGCCGTGTGAGCCAATTGCTCCTTCCAGTGCCTGGAGGGCCGACAGGAAAGGTGCAGGGAGCCGGTTCACACGGGCCTGGCGTGGCAGAGCGAGGGGAACGGCTGCAGCCTGACTGAGGGCAGGGGCAGGTGGATATTGGGAAGAAATTCTCCCCTCTGAGGGTGGTGACAGTGCTGGCACAGGGTGCCCAGAGAAGCTGTGGCTGCCCCATCCCTGGAAGTGTCCAGGGCCGGGTTGGATGGGGCTGGCAGCAGCCTGGGACAGTGGAAGGTGTCCCTGCCCACGGCAGGGGTTGAATGAGGAGAACTTCCAGCTCTCTTTCAGCCCTATCTTGGCACGATATCACCACCACAGCAGGGTCAGCACAGTCTGCCCTTCCTTGCAGGCACCTCAGGAGAGGAACCATGCCCAGGATCACTGTGAACGGGATCACAGTGGATTTCCCCTTCCAGCCCTACCCATGCCAGGAAGCCTACATGGCCAAGGTGCTGGAATGCCTGCAAAAGGTGAGTGAGTGTCCAACTGTGTGTCATTGCTAACTGTACTAAATGGTTTCTCTAAGGAGAGGTTGTCACAATTCAAGTTTGCTTTATGTGATTTGTATGCTGCCTTCCCAAGTCTTCTCTGACCTTTTACTTGTATTTTTATTTTACTCTGTGGTAATGAAAATTGTGGCTGGCAAGTGGCAGTCAGTAGAAATATAGATGGGCTGTTTCTGCCTAAATTGGGAAAAGAAAGAAAGGCTGCTTGTGTTCATGCAGTGTGTCCTTGGCTGGCTGGGTCTGATTACAGAGTCATGAATGGTTTGGGTTGGAAGGGACATTAAAAATTCACCTTGTTCCAACTCCCTCCCATGGGCAGTGACACCTTCCACTATCCCAGGCTGCTCCAAACCCCATCCAGCCTGGCCTTGGACACTTCCAGGGATGGAGCAGCTTTTCTGGGCACGCTGTGCCAGGGCCTCTCCACCTTACAGAGAACAATTTCTTCTTATTCTCCAATATGAACGTAATCTCTCTCAGTAGGAATCCATTCTTCCTCGTCCTGTTACTACAGGTCCTTGCAAAAAGTCCCTTTCCATGTTTCTTGTAGCCCCCTTCAGAAACTGCAAGGTCCCAGTTAGGTCACCTTGGAGTTTTCTGTTCTCCAGGCTGAACAATCCCAATTGTCTCAGCCTTTCCTCCTGGGAGGGATTTGATCTTGTCTTGTTAATATTTGGACTATTTGTATACTCTTCCATTTGCTGTGTGAGAGGATAATTTTACTGAATTAAAGTTAATAAAATGTTTTTTTCACAGTAATTTTATGCTGTAATGTGACACACTTCAATGGCTCTAAAAGTGGAGACTTGAATTCCTGTGCTAAATAAATCTGATGGCTGGCTCTGGGTTTCTGATTGAACCTCATTAAGATAATTAGAGGGTTCTACAGGTTGGTTAGACCTCGAGTGTGGGTGTTCCTTGGGGGGGCTGCCAGCTGCTCTTTGCTCCTTGGCAGAGAACACGCAGTGCTGCACCAAGACCTGTCCTTCTGAACCCTTAAATCCCTCTTTTATTTCTCTCCACCAAAGAAGGTAAATGGCATTTTGGAGAGCCCCACAGGCACAGGGAAGACCCTGTGCCTGCTGTGTTCCACCCTGGCCTGGCGGGAGCACTTCAAGGACACCATCTCAGCCCGGAAAATCGCGCAGCGCATGAACGGCGTGGAGCTCTTCCCTGACAGACCTGTGTCCTCCTGGGGCACTGCTGCCACAGATGGAGATGTCCCAGGTGAGTACCACCACCTCTGCGCTCAGGGATGGTAGTCAACACGTGCTTTTATCTGGCTTTTATAATAAATACACAATTATACAAGTTACAGAGCTGTTGTTGAGCAGCTGGAGCACGGTTTCACCATTTTGTGCATTTTCAAGGTGTTTTATGTAGTTTGAATTTTTCTTGGAGCTCATTTAGTTCTTTAGTTTCTTAGAAGCTCATTTAGCTCATTTTATGTATGTGAATAGTTAGATGACAGCATTTCCTGCTGTCTCTACAAGGCAAACTGTTACCATAGTACCAGCTGGGGAAGGAGCTAAGAATATCCCTACTTCTCCTTTCTATGCTTATAATGCCGTTCTGATTTTTTTTTTTTTCTCTTCTATTTGGCAGCTTATTACACTGACATTCCAAAAATAATTTATGCCTCCAGGACTCACTCCCAGCTTACACAGGTCATTAATGAGCTAAAGAACACAGTGTACAGGTGAGTATGATTTAGGGTAGTGTCCTTATTCAAAGAAAAGGTAGAGAAACCCCTCTGGTGTAGTTATTGTTTGAAGTTCTGTGGATGAATGCATAAAAGATGATATTCAGAGAAATATAGTTCCTTTAATGTGCATGTTTAGAACCTGGTTGTCTTTGTTGATGGGTTTGGTTTATTTTAATACTTCACAGCTTCTCTCCTTCAGTGTTAGAATTTTCTGAATTTAGTCTGGCTTTGGTTTTTTACTTGGCACATTAACTAGTAAAATTACCTTTTTTAATTTTCCCTCTCTATACTTTTCTGGGGGCATTTTTAAAGCAGTGGGAAGCCATTACCATGTTGAACTCCTTAGGCTGATGTAAATCTATGAAGAACTTTGTGGTTCTGTTATACCAGTGACAGTTTTCCTGTCACAGTTTTCAGCTGTTCACATGCCACTGTGTGGCTGAGCTCTTTGGACAGGCATAGTCAATTGTTTATGTAGTTCTTGGAAAGATACAACCTAGTAATAAGCAAAAAAGCCCAAACCATGGTTAATGTTTGTAGTGAACCAGTTCTGTCCTAACCTCGCTCTGAACATCACAACCAGCTGGGAAAATATTGTAATGGATGACAGGCCCCAGCTGCCTGGGCTGAGCTGTCATAACAGAACCCAGATTTTGTGGTGGATGGTGTAAATTGCTGCTTGTGACTTCTTGCTGTGAGCTGCTGCTGCTTATTAACAGCCACTGCTGCCAGCAGAGATGCAGTGCCTCACAGTCCAGTAACACACACAGCAGTCACAGGCAGACTAATTGACTTGTTCTGGCTCTGACCCTTGCTTTGGGCTCATCTGTTTCTCCTGAATCTTTCACTTTTGAGATATTGAATCAAAGCATGTACAACTCTGTTCTTTCTTGCCTTATTTTTAATGTCAGTTTTGTGTATCCAGGCCAAAGGTGTGTGTGCTGGGGTCCAGGGAGCAGCTCTGCATCAATCCTGAAGTGAAGCGACAGGAGAGCAACCACATGCAGGTGAGATCACAGCCTGGAGAGGATGCTCAGGAAAAGAACATGGAGGCTTTTGTGTCATTTCTGTGTCATTCTTCACTCTGAAACTGTTTAACTACAAGAGGCTGCAGGGAAACACAGTGGTTGTAAATGTGTTTTTAGGAATGTTTAGTTTCTAGTTTTGTGAGTGCAAAATGTAATTCTGAGTCTCTGGTGACATTTTCTATCCAGAGAAAGATGTCACTGTGTAGAACATGACAGTTAATGATTTGTAGTTTCTGATCTGCTATTTATGTGTTTGTCAAGGGCAATAATAATTTCAAAACATTGCTTCAGTTATTGATTTAGCTGTTATTTTTACAATATTGAAGATTACTGTTTTGAAAAGCATTAATGGTAAAACATAACACATTTTTCTCTGAGCATGTGAGTGTCCTGTGCTGCAAAAAAAAGAGACTAACTTGCAAGGTGAGCAGGGCATGTGGTTTTAAAGCTGAAGAACTGTGATTAGCATTTATTCATTAGCTGGTGTTAGAGCTGATTTCACTCCTTAGCCTGCTTTCAGGGCCTGACAAGCTGTGCTACTCTGGGCTGAAATAGGCTTTGTTTTACAGATCTACATGTGCAGAATGAAAGTGATGGCTCGTGCTTGTCATTTCTATAACAATGTGGAAGGTGAGTGTGGCTCACTCTCACTTCCCCTGGAAGCAAAGCCCTGGTTTTTGAAGAGGGAGGGATTTGCTAGGCAGGTGGAGAGGCTTGGAAGAGTTGGCAAAATCCACCTGTGTTTTTCTCTGTTACTGTGTTTCAAGAATGAGGTATTAGTGGATGAGTTTGATCAGGGTAACAACAAATCTTTGTGTGATGCCTTCACCTAAGCTGGTGGCTTTAATGTCATCTTTTACAGAAAAGAGTACAGAGAAAGAACTCATTGAATCAATCATGGATATTGAAGACTTGGTTAAAAATGGAAACAAGCACAGGCGAGTGATCCCCTCTGACCTTCCTCCCCCTGACTTGTGAAAATAATGGGAATTGTTTCTCTGTTCACTTTTATTAATCTATTTGTGTATCAGAGTGCATCAATGTTGAATGCCCTTTTAATATTTCTGCAAGCATTATACTGTAGTTTTGTTTTTTTTTTAAACAGATCTTGTCCTTATTATCTCTCTCGAAGCCTGAAGCAACAAGCAGACATTATTTTTATGCCTTACAACTATTTACTAGACTCAAAGGTAACATATAACTTTGCTTTTAAATACAGTTGTTCTTCTGTTTGTTTTATGTTGTCTTTTAGTGGATAAAGAGTGAAGAGTGGTGCCTGGCAAGTGACTGCATTATGTATGATTCAGAACTGACCAAACCCCAGTTCTGTTCAGGACCATAAAGGATGTCATTTGGAGGTTTTCTCTGTAAATGATTTCCCATGATAAAAAAAAAAAAAAAAGTTCGAGATTTTTCTATATTTGTAGAATTAGCTTTGCAGAATGTAGTGCCATTTTTAGGTGATTTTCACCTCCTGGACACAAATCTTCAGTCACACACTGTGCAGTATTTTTGCATGCAGTCTGAGGTGTTTTTGTTTCTGCAGCTGTTGCATGATTTTCAGAATAAGGAAGCTTTCAGTAGAAACTGGACATATCTCTTGGAAATAGTTTCTGGTTTTGTGTACAAGCAGTTGTAATAAGCTGTTTGTATTTTATGGATAGGAAGTGAAACATTTAAAAACTCTGTTGAGGAAACAAATGTGCTGACAACTTCATGCAACTTGGAGTAATTAATGAATTATAGTAAAAGCCAGATCGCACCCCACTGCTGCAGGAAGACTGAAAGATTAATAAATTAAAAAATAAATTTAAAAGATCCCTTAAGCCCTGTAAGCAGAGAAGCATTGTGAAATGAAGTGATGTGGTACTGGAGGGGGTGTGTCCAGAATATCCCCTTGCAAAGGCAACACAAGCATCAAATTGTAAATATGAGGCAAATCCTCTGCTTCACACCCCACTTCTCCCAGATCTCTATTGCCAAAAATGACTCCAAGTGACTCAAATTAATAGATGAACTTTCTTAAATTAGTTAAACTAATCCCAATATGGCATACCTGGGCTTTGGTTTTTTTATTACAAACTGTAACCTCTGTCAACATTTACATGATACATTTTAGCACCTTCATTTCCAGAGAAAGTGATTCTGTGGTTTCTGTAGCAGGCAGCCACAGCCATTTCTTGCTGGTTTTGCAAAGGAAAAAACCAACCCAACTTCAAAATACATGAAAACCCAAAAGTATCTCATCATCCACTTTCTCAGCCAATCAAATCCATATTTTTCAGGGGCCTTTTTGTCCATGTCCTTGTTCTGATTTTGTCTTTAGAGCAGGAAATCCCACAACTTGGACCTGAAGGGGACTGTGGTGATACTCGATGAAGCTCACAATGTGGTGAGTTGTTTTGGTCTGTTACCATTTTCAATCTGCACCCAAAGAGTAAAACAGACCCCATTCTATTACAGCCTGTAAAATCTGTACTCAGGTGTATGTTGCTAATATTCATTTTCATGAACATTTCTTGTTTCTGTGACAGTTACAGTCCTTTAACACTGCTGACTTTTTTTTTTTTTTAACGAGGTGACGGTTTCTTTCTAAAGGGTGCATTTCCAGATTTATGAGTTGCTTCTTTTCTTGGAGACTTCTAAGAAAACACTGTGTAAGCAATCATGGAAGACCCACTCTTGAAGCTCAGCTGCATCAGCTCTGCCAAGTGCAGTAGATGGCAAACAGGAACTCTTGTAATATTTCCAAGTCCTCACTCATAGAGGAAAACAGAAAAAAATAAATAATGCTGCCTTAGGAGTTCTTCCTTTTAGCTGGCTTGAAACTGCAGCTCTTTTCCTAAATGATGAAATGCAAAGGAACATTTGAAATATGTCCCTTTCTGTGCCACATGAAGACACAGTCTCCCAGTGGGATTTCTGCTGAACAGCTGTGGTTTGTTGTCTGAGTGCCTGGTGTCCTTTCAGTAAACAGCCACCCGGTTCTGCTCTGCTTCACTGGAGAACCTTGCCTTGCTGCCTCCAGGGTTTGCTCCTTTCATCAGAACATCTTTCTGCTGAAAAAATGTGTGGAAACTCTGTCACGGTTGTTTGGGGCTTGGATTTATTTTTCGCTTTGTAGTGTGCAAGTATTAATTGATGCCTGCATGCAGAAATTAGCCAGAACAGCTTCTCCTTTTGCAATAGTTATCTGATGGTGCTGTCTCTTCCAGATTAATATGTGGAAATTTAGTGATTACCCTGAAATAAACTTAAATTTCTTTCTGATTAGATTGCTTACATATGCAGCTCGCTCAGCACTTGTTTTCTTTATAACTTATTTATTCATAGCTATTACAGTAAAATATTTGTGTAGGTTAGGCCTTATATTTTATCATCAGGGAAAATGAATCTTTTTGTGAATGAAAATTTCTTGCAAAGCAATATGTGCTTTAATTTTCAAAGTCAGAGAAAGTTTTGTCAAACTTACTAATCCTGAGTGTTTAAGCCATTACTACTTTTAAAACAGAAAGTAGAGAAATAGCTTTTTTGAAGAACAGCCAATTGTGTAAGTGAAAGAATTTCCTGCTTGAACATCAGGCAATTACTGTCTGTACTCTCTAGAATGTTGATAATGTGGAAGAGGCAAAATCTGTTCTACATTTCAGAAAGAATTATGTTTATTAATAGTCAAAGTCTTCAGGTGTTTATAAAATATTTTCTGGCCTGAGCTGGAGACCAAAAATAAAATCAAGCCTGGTTGTCTGGATTTCATCATGTCTGAAACTGCCTGAATAAACAGCACACAGAGTGGTCAGAATAATTCTTCCATTCCTTCTGTTTTAGGAGAAATTGTGTGAGGAGTCCTCTTCTTTTGACTTGACTCCCTACGATCTGGCTTCAGCAATGGATGCAATAAATATTGTCCTGGAGGAGCAAGCCAAAGTGGTTCAACAGAATGAAATCAATGCTGAATTCAACATGGAGTTGGCCAGTTCAGGTGTGTTGACAGTGACACATCACTGTCTCTCCGGAATTATAAAGTGCCACTACCAAGAACTGGAAAATAACTTTTAGGAAAAGTTTCTGGGAAATTTACACCCTTGTTAGTAGGTAAATTGTTGTTAATTAGTGATTGTTGCCAGACACTGGAAGATTTGATCAAACCAGTGTGACATGAGAGGCTATGGAACAGTGAGTGGAACACAAAAAATACCTTTCCATGGACACAATTCTAACCTTCATAGCCATAATTTCTGGAAAGGCATAAAGAAACTGGGAGTGAAATAGATGTGAAACAACCTCTTTGAAGTCTTCACTTTTTTTCAACAGGACTGAACATGGAACTGGAAGATATAGCAAAGATCAAGAGTAAGTGTATTTTTGTGGTGTTGAAAATTGTTGTTGAAACAGTTTGAAAAGGTCAGCAATTACAAATCAAGCTCATGCAGCATTGCTATACGTTACTTATAAGTGAGACATTCATTGACGCTTAAGTTTTATCTGGCTTTTCCCAAGAACTTTTTGGAATGTTTAGTTAGTTTTTTCCCAAGAAGAGAGATTTGGCAGATGAATGGGTCTTTTCCTTTGTTGCTAGAAGTTTCCATATTTTCTAATCTTGTCAGTGTGCTGGAATTGCATCATTCTGCTGTCAGAACCTGAAGTTAACATCAAGAGCTTGAGATATCTCATGTATACAAAGCATTTCCAAGAACAACTTTCCCTTTCTGTAAGGAGTTTAACATTTAGCTGGTGACTTCAGCTTCATTAGGAATTGAGGTCATGGAAGTTCTTAGAGTTGAATATGAATATTTAAAGGTGGTAGCCAGGAAATTTGTTTTGATCATTTTGGTTTGTTTACAGAGTTGAGAGAACAGCTGGGCTGCTGTCTTTTGTAACTGCCTTTGTAATAAAGTACATTTGAAAAAGTGACTTAGATGTGTCCCAGACATGACTTTCTGTGCACCCTAACTTTTTCCTCTTAATTTTCCTAAAGAAATTCTTCTTCAGCTTGAAAGTGCTATTGATGCAGTGGAGCTGCCAGCAAATGGCAATGGAGTCACCAAAGAGGGAAGGTAATTTTCTTCTCATTAATGTGTTTAAATGTTAAAAAGAACAGCAAATTGGAGCTGGGGCAGCTGTTTGGGTTATAGCTCTATTCTCGTTTCTGGGAATAGTATTTATGCAAGGTTTTGGTTTTCCTGAAATCCCCTATCTGTAGTAATCATTATTTTTGGAGGAATGCCCTTTTTTAGTATTTCAAGAGTGGAAAATCCTTTGCTTGGGTTTCCTGAGCTGGAAGAAGCTGTGCTTCTTTCAATTTTGTGTAATGATTTAAGCAGAGGTACCTGTGCTGCAGTGATGTGTCTGAGGTACCTCTGAGCTCTGGAAGTCCGTTTCTAAACTGGTCCCTGTTGTACATGGTAAAAAAAAATCATGGAAATTGTATGCCAGTCTGCTTCTAAATTAGTAATGGATTGTATGTTGGAGGGGAATGATGGAAAAAGGGAATGACATGGTCTGTGTGCTGTCTGCCATGGCAGTATTGTGCACTGTCTTTATAAGCAAGTACTTAATTTTATTCTTGGATATTTTTCATTCTCATGGAGACAGAAACATGTTTTGCTACATGATGGTGAGATTGTTGTTCTGAAAGAGTAACATTATTTGTGCCTATTTGATTATTTATAGTGTTTACCTATTTCTGCTTTTTCTTTGTAAATTGCAGCTACATCTTTGATCTGTTTGCAGAGGCCCAAATAACACTGCAGACCAAATGCTCCCTCTTGGAGTCACTGGAGCAGATTTTACAGTTTCTTTCAGGCCGTAAGTGCATTTTAACTTTTTTACTCAGACTTTCCTCTTTAGTGTAAGAAACTGGAAATTTTTGTTGTTAAGGGAGACAATCAAATGAGAAAGCCTCTATAAGCTAAAATCTGACCTTAAAGACTTGTGTCCTTTCATTAAGACATGCAGGGTCCTCTGCTGGGAAACATATTTTATGTCTGTTCATGTAACTGAGCCGATGTTGAGAGCCACCTTATGTCAAAACAGGAGTGTGTACCCGTGTGTGGGTCCATCCATTCACACAGAGGACTTTTGCACGGACACTGTTTTTCTCCAAAACCACACGGATTGTGGTGTGAAGCTTGCTGACGTTTTGCTGATGGTACTTTTCATGTCTTGAGTTCTTCCTTGGTCTTGGAGTTAAAAAACAAGAATTTAGAGAATAATATAACATTTTTTTTTCCTTGATTTAACAAGCTTCTGTTCTAATGTCTGTCAGCATCTTGTTCTTAACTTGCTCTTCTGTAAATAAAACGTTTCAACTTCTACATATGTTAAGAAACTGATTTAGCACTTACCAGCAGACTCTTCAGAAAAAACATTGAAGGGAGTAGAATACAGACTGTCAGTTCTGCAAGGGCATTGGACAACACATCCACCTTTCCTTTTTTCTTTGCCCAGCACCTTTCTCCTTTTAGGCCACTTGCATTCTGGCCTGACAAGTGCATCTGTTGATAATTTCTGCTGCAAAATCCCCACCATGAGTGTATTTCATATGTTAACTGCTCCTCTAATTGCTGCTTTAATTAGCTCCTTTCCCATTTTTAAGATGGAGAGGATCTTCAAGAAGTGTATTTAATTTTCTGGGGAGACAGCTTCCCAGTGTGTCAGACATGGAATGCCATTTTTATATTTCTCTTTGCATCTTGAATAATGATGAAAAACTTGAAGTAAATTATTTGTTTCGGAGAATATTTTCAAGTCATATTCAGAGTGTTGAGCTGTTCAGATAAGGTGTGGCTATACCCAGAGGGATGTATATTTGTGTTTTAAGAGTAATCTTGTGTTGCTTTCTCCAGGTACTGGGATATTTGTCAATACATCTGGATTGCATAAGGTCTCAGATATTATCCAGGTAAATATTTAATGCTGCTTCTATACATATCTGAAGGATAGAAGAGTTGGTTTAAAAGATGTGGAAAGATACTGGATCAATTTTTTCTTGTTGGCATGTACACTTGTGCAAGGGTGCAAGTTTGCAGTTTTTGAGGAGAAAGCTGCTGCCTGATGGAATGGATTAATCTGATTTTTACCCAGGTTGTTCTTTTGTAATTCTGGTCTCTCTTTTTGGAGAAGCTGGATTTAAATTTTTCCTGGGCTTAGCGTCCACCAGGTGGAGCTGGGTCATTGAACTTGTTTGCAGCAGTGTTTGAGAATATGAGATCATCCCATGAAATAACAAGAGAGGCCATGGAAGAGAGCAATCTAAAGATAATTTAACAGTATTTTTTAAATTTAATTATTAACTTATGAGATGTCTAAAAGAAAAATATTTTCTGAACTGATGGTGACACTTGTGGGTATCCACAAAATGCTGTCATTTCCCTGTTGTGCACTTCCAAAACTTTGGTTATGAAGATCCCAAGCCCCATAAAATTCAGAGGTGCAGTGGGCCAGTGGTCTGTCTGATATATGTGTGCAAGAGGGCACTAGAGATTAACACCCTGTTTAAAACTGAAAATGAAAAATTTATTCAAACCTTGCAGACCTGTATGATAAGACAAGTCACCTGGGTGTGTTTTGAATGGTCCTGGCAGGTTTGCAGCACTGAACTCTGAGTGCATGGGTGTTTGTGAGGGGGAATCACAGTGGCATACACAGGATTCCATTTTTCTAGCAGTGGTTAAACAAAACCTTCAGTGTGTTCCAGTGCAGTAGTAGTGATTTATGTACACTGGTACCAAATGGTTTGTACTGGGAGATGTTGCTGTTCTGAGGGAAGGCCAGGTGAGCCTAACTTAAATTGGTTCCTTAGGGTTTCAAAGCTGAGAGATGAGAAAATTCAGAAGAAGAAACCAGGTCCCCTGATCCGAGGAGGCTGTTGTCCAAGACTGGAAATAATTGTGTGTGCTCTTTTGGGCTGTGGATAGATAAAAGGAGATTTGTCTTTGGAGGAGAAAGCTCAGATCCCTTTTCTGTTCTGAGCACATGCACGTGGATGGTGCCTGCAAAGGATCTGCCAGGGAAAGTTTGCCATCTTGAGATAGGTGGGACATGGACAGAGTTTTTGTTGGGTAAACAGTGTTTGCTTCTTACACAGCCTTTAGTCTTAATTTATCACCAGCTTGTTTTAATTAATTGTAATTTTTTTATTCTTTTTCAAAGAACACTTACCAAAATGCCTTTTGTACACCATATCTTTGGCTATTTTTCAGGAGTAAATATTTCCAGGAATTGTGTTGTTTTTTTTTTTAATTGCTGGGGAACATCTTGTAACTAGCTGATACTCTTACGTGCTTGGGTAATTCCTATCAATGTCTGGAGAAATTTTGTTTAGAAAAATTAACAGAGTTGTAAATATTTGAGAACCACAGCTGTTTTCACTGAAGTTGCACTGGGATGCCTTATGTTTGAAAGAGCATCATCTGTAGTCATGAGACATCACATGCAGGAAAGGAGGGAAAAGCATAACTCTGATAGAAGCTTCTAATTTAATATATGGACAATTAGATATGATTACAACTTGATTATTTTTCTAAGCAGAGTGTTATTAGCTGAGGAACCACAGATGAAATTTTAAACTGAAGGACCTCAAAAAGCTCTTCTATACTTGGTTGTGACTGATCTCCTTAGGGTGGTTGTTTATCCACAGTCAGAGTCATGAACAGTGTGAATAATGATATTATCATTTGTATAATTTGAGTATATTTAGATACTGGCTTGCAGTTTTTGGAACAACGAGAGCACCATGTGGGTAGCAGGAATTGCCTGGAAGAACCACATTTATTCAAGGTTCTGTCTTATTTGATAACAAGAGTAAGGAAGAAAAATTTAAGGTTATTGCAGCAGTAACTTATGTGGAGACACTTCTCAGTGCAAAGACACATTAGGGATTTTACCAAAAGGATGCATGTGTATGTATGTATCAAAAATAATGTGGCCACCAGGACCAGGGAGGTCATTGTCCCTCTGGGCTGGGCAATGGTGAGGTCTCACCTTAAGTCCTGTGTCCAGTTCTGAGCCCCTCATGACAAAAAGGACATTGAGGGGCTGGAGCATGTCCAGGGAAGGGAACAGAGCTGGGGAAGGGGCTGGAGCACCAGAGAGGCTGAGGGGGCTCAGCCTGGAGAAAAGGGGGCTCAGGGGGGACCTTCTCACCCTCACAACTCCCTGACAGGAGGGAGCAGCCAGGTGGGGGTCAGGCTCTGCTCCCAGGGAACAAGGGACAGGATAAGAGGAAACGACCTCATGCAGTGTCAGGGAAGTTCAGTCTGGACATCAGGAAGAATTTCTTCATGGAAAGGGTTGTCAGGCATTGGAAGGGGCTGCCCAGGGAGGTGGTGGGATTCCCATCCCTGGAGGTGTTGGAGGAATGCCTGGATGCGGCACAATGCTCTGGGCTGATGACAAGCTGGGGATCAGTCACAGGTTGGACTCAACCATCTTGGAGATAATTTCCAACCTAAATAATTCTGTGATTCTGTTTCCCTCCATTTTGCAGACAGTGTTCAGCATGGATCCCCCAGAAGGAGTCACAACAGGGTTCCTGCCACATCAGGCAGTATCTAAATATTACAAGGTATGGGAGGCTTTGTGTGCTGCGTTTTTCCTCACAGCATTTAATGTCTGTGCTTCGTGTAGCTCAGACTTGGAAGGATGTGGATAGTGCAACACATGATGTTGATTACAGGGAGAAAAAAAGAGGACACAGCCCAAAAAAAACCACCAAAGGAATGGTTTTTAATTTAGATTCTGAACACAACCACAATTTTAAAATGAATTTGTAAATTAAATTATGAAAGTGCAGAAAATGGAAATTTCAGAAAATTTTGAATTTGGATATTAAACAAGAATCAAGGTGTTCTTTCAGTAATGTATTTTTAGTTTAGCCCAGTGCTAAGCAAATGCAGCTCCTCTCTAAAGTTGTTTTAATTTGTTTAAAGTTTGGAATTTATGGGATGTGTTGTTATGATGAATTTTAGGAACAGATCTTTTTCTAGATGTCACATTTAGTCTTTATACTATTTTTGTTGCCAAATGAGGCAAATCTTTCCACCACAACAGTGTTCTACATTCTACATTTAATCTGTGTGGTTGATGCTGGTGGAAATACCCAAATAATTGAGTTCTCGGTCTCTGCTTGGGTCAGGCCATGAAAAGCTGCTCCCATCATCTGACTCAAAAATGGTTGGATGGTGATGCACTTTTTTGGTCCTTAGTTATGAAATACTGGAAGCAAAATAGAAAAGAGACAGGAAATTGTATAACCTTAGTAACACTGTAAAAGTAGCATTAATTGCATTAATTGCTCTTAATGTAGGCCAGGTTATTTTGAGGGATGAAGTTCAAGTTTGTTTCTGCAGCCATTGCTAGAAATGTTTGATACTTTCCTTCAGGTACATATTCATGTGGATAATGGTAATCAGAAAAAGAAACAAAGGACAGATCTCTGGAACTCATCATCTTCAAAAAAACAAGGTACAGGACTGTTCTTGGGGAGGTCATGCAAAAGCTGCATTGAAAACTCCTCAACTGTTCATTTCTGATTCAAATAGAAAAAAACAAGTGCAGCTCCATTGTGGATACAATGAGCTGGGGACAAGCTTTTCACTTTTATAGCTATTTCTGAAAGGGAGGTGGCATGTGCCATCTCAATATAAGAATTTCTTGTACCATTGGTGTTTTGTGCACTGCTGGAGTTCTTTTAGGGCAATGATTCTGTGAAAGAAGATCATCTCCATCGTGGAATTGTTTGTACTGGTGCAGAGAAAATCTTCAGAGCAGCCAAGAATGGGGAACTCTCCTCCAAGCCTCAGGTTGATACTGAGGTTCATGACAGGTTCTGTTCTCATACCAGCTGGATTTCTCTGCACAACTGTTGAATTAGACACAAAATTGGTGTTCAATAAGGCTGTAACTGCCTTTGGCAAGAAGGGGGTTCAGGTACAGTAATGATGGCAAAAATGTTAGTCAGAGGTGGTAGAAGAGTTAAATCCATTCTCTGTTGAAATGATTTCTACTGTGGAGGTGTTACAGTTTGTTGGTTCATTTTTGGAGCTCTGTAGGGAAGTTTCATGTCACGTACCAGAGATCTTGTCCAGATCATTGTGAATTCTTAGGCAGAATGCCTTGCCTTGGGGCATGTTTACCTTTTTGAGATCACCTACTTTGCGAAACTTCCTACTTTGAGCAACTTTCGGGGTGTGTTGTCAGTTCTTGATAGTTTCAGCTTCAACTATTCTTTCCAGTTCAACTGGGATTTCTCCCTCTCCTTGTCAATCTCCTCCCACCTGTTCCTTATGCTCTGCAGATCCCAGTATCTGGAATTACCTCAATATAGCTGCTCTTCAAAATCTTATATTTAGAAGAAAAGAAACTTGGCTTCTGAATCAAATGCTTATCCTAATGCTCCTATAAAGCAGCACCAAGCTTGGCTTTGTTGGACTGCAGTATTCATTTTTTCTGATTTTTTAATTAATTTTTTTAATAATTAAGTTGAAAACAAAACATTTTCAATTAGAGAAGACAGATGCAGATCCCTTTACCTAAGCCTTCTTAACAGAGCACTCTTCAAGGATTTGTCTAAATACTTTGCCTCATAACTATCTACTTAATTATTCAGTTAAGTGCTCATGAGTGTGTAATTATCTGTTTCATGGAATTTCTTATTTTAAGGACAAAACTAACATTTTTTAAATATTAATTTCCAAGAATTTACTGAGTTTGCACATAATGTCCCCTTAAATGTTTCTATTAAGTTAGTGCTGTTTGGTAATCTGCAAAAGTAGTTTTCCTGAGATATTCCTCAATTGGAGTTTTAAGATACAGGAGTAATTCTGAGTGGATTTGGTTAAAGATGTGTGCAGGAAGAGGCTAATACAAACATTTTAAGGTTATTTGCACAGTTTGGAGGATTTATACACAGAAATACAAAGCAGTGAGAGAATTCTGTGATTCAGTAGATGGATTCTGGTAATTTTTTTTTTTCAAATAAGAATAGTATTTGTAAGTACCTGTGTAACACACCTGAGAATGCTGAGACTTGTGCTTTATGTAAGCCTAGCAGAGGCCAGACATGTTAGATGGAGTCTCTGGTTTCCTGTAGTGATATAGCAAATGGTATAGAAATAATTCAAGCATTTAGGAACAGCTATTTTCCAGGATTTTGTGGAAATTATCCACTTAAACATCATTCTCTACAAAGTAGTTGGTGAGGAGAAGCTTTGGGGTATCTGATGAGATTCCTGCCTGAGTCATCTGGGAACAGATGCTGTTTATGTCAACAATATTGGACTGTTGCAGTTTAACATTAAGTTAAAATGCTCCTATTCATGGTTTGCTCTAAATCATCATGTTGTAAACTGGTAGCAAGCCATTTCTCCTTGCATTAGCTGTCCTTGTACCAGGAATGGAAAAAGCTGCTGCAGAGACCAGCTTTGTTCAACGCCCAACACTTCCTGCTGGTGAATGGGACCTTGAAAATGGATTTATTGTTGTTAAGCTTAAAGACATAATTGCAGCACACCAGGCTAAAAATGTACAGCAGTCCCAACTTGTCCAGGAACTGGGAACTGGTGCCTGGCAGTTGTCATGCTGGGTTACAGAAATGTGTTTGCAGCTGAGCACTGGAGGAGCAGACATAAGAGGCTGATGTCCTTTTCCAGGCCATCCCATATCAGCCCAGTTTGGTTTCATGCTGGGATTTCTTGGGTTCCTGGCTGAGTCACTTTGTTCTTGTCTGTAGATACTCACTGGCTTGTCCAAACTAATTTGCAGCAATTGTTAGTGTGAGTTAGAAAGATAGGGAATTTGCTGAATTTTGGAATGTGAGTCTTCTAGAATTTAGGCTTTGTCTGGATGTGTCTGTCCAGGTGAGATGGAAGGGTAAAACTTTTAGCTAAATGTTCACTTGTAATTCTAAGCAGTAAGTGACTCACTGGGCAAGTATTAATGGGGATTTCCTGAAAACAACAGCTTTTCCTTTTGGAAATTAAGGCTTTGATTGACGTGTGTAAATTTCAAAGAAATGCACATGATACCTGGGTAAGAGGTATTTAATTTTATTACTGAAACTAATCATGAAAAGCAGTATCAGAAACAGAAACAAAAGCTGATGTTTCATTTGGCTGCTCTTGTTCTTGACATGGATATTTTTTCATTCCCTTGTGCCTGTGTCTCTGACAAGCTGATGCAGTTTTCAGCAAGCTTGAGCTGAGCAATAAAAGAAATTGCTGATGTGATTTATTTCTTTTTCTTAATATTCTTTTCTGTTGAGAACTTACATATTTTCAGAGTCACACATTTATTTCCATATGTGTGTGTGTGTGTGTGTATATATATATATATATATGTCACCACATCCCACAAAAGATTTGAGCAGAAATTGAAACGTTTGGGAGCTGACTCTGATGAAAGTGGGGAGTTCAGGTGAAAGATTTATAGCCTATATAGTTACATAGGAAATCCTCACAGAGAAGGAATTCTTTTTTCAAGCCAGTGCAAGGTTGTACATACTTTCTTATTAGATTATGAGGAAGCAGTGATGTTTTATTTAAAAGTCATTAAATCTGGGAAAAACCAAAGCAGGACATAGCATACATCTGTAATATTAAGTTTGGATGCTGTCTGGCTTACTCTCAGAAGTTCAGGTGCAATGTGCCATATGCTGGTCATCATAGTCTAGTTTTTCCATTTTGACTGATTTCTTAGTGTTTTCTCTTTATTTAATGCAGGGAAGACTTTAAGCTATTGGTGTTTCAGCCCTGGGTACAGCATGCACGAGCTCGTTCGACAGGGAGTCAGGACAATCATCCTCACCAGTGGGACCCTCTCCCCCCTCTCATCATTTACAATGGAAATGCAGATGTGAGTACCTGGATGTGGGAACACTGCCATTCCTGAAAGATGCACAGTCTGCCCTGTTTTTGTCTCAGGATTTTAAAGTGTTCTGTTTGCCCAGAGAAGCTGTGGCTGCCCCATCCCTGGAAGTGTGCAAGGCCAAACTGGATGGGACTTGGAGCAGCCTGGGATAGTGGAAGGTGTCCCTGCCCATGGCAGGGGGTGGAATGAGATGAGCTTTAAGGTTTCTTCCAACCAAACCAATCCATGATTCTGTGGTTCTGGAACTGGTAGGGAATCACATAGTGAGTATGACTGGGATCTTCCTCTTTTTTTCTCCAGCCCTTTTCCTGTTTGCCTGGAAAATCCTCATGTAATTGATAAACACCAGCTCTGGGTTGGGATCATTCCAAAGGGACCTGATGGAACTGTGCTTACTTCCACCTATGAAAGAAGGTAATGAACTTCCATTTGGAATCCTGCTTTGAAGTTTAGGGTTCCAGTGTTTTGGTGTTCTGTTAACAGGAGTATGCTAGCTAAGTAAGGGATCTCTAGTGGTTTTCTTGGATAAATGCTGAATAACAACACCCTTTAACCACTCCTGTTGAAGGTCTGGAAGGGATCAGGTACCAAGGCACTGATAGTCCTTGATGGCCCTGACCACGCTCAGCTGGGACTTGCACCCACAACCATCTCCCAGGAGCTGCACAGAACCCTATCCAAATTTTTTTTTGCTGAAGGCTTAATTGACTTGAAACATGACTGGCCTTTGCAATAACTATTTTTACATTTCAAGCTTGTCACCATACGCAGCCTCTCTTTCACCTCTGGGTTGTATTCTTAAGGAAAACGTGTCAAAATATTTGTCAAGCTTTTCATCATCATTTTTCTTACTCATCTGGTCTTCCATCACTTTGTCTCTTTCTATCTGTTGTTCAGAGTTGGCAGTGCTTCTGCTGCCAGCAAAGGCCAAATGTTCCATAGAACTGGAAGGGGACTCAGCAATTGTAATGGATTTCCATGGAGAAGTCATAATCTGGAAAACCCTCAGACTGCATTTCTCATTTTCAGAAGTTTTAGTGTGCCATTTCAGTGTATTTCTGTTGAAGATGCTGTCTTTTAAAGAAGTAAAGTTGGGGTTTCCACCCCTCCAGGGCTTTAGAACATGGGGACTTTTTGAAGGAAAAGAATTCATTGTGTTCACTCTGTTTTGACAACATCTCTGTGTTGATACTGGTATTTGTATGTCTTATAAAGGTATATATGTTAGGTTTTTTCCCTGCATATATAAATTTTCTGGGAAAACAGTACAAAAAAGTACAGGGCACTAAAATAAAAGGAACATAGAGGCATGAGAGAACAGGGGAGTTTTCAGTCAGGTCTGGAAGAACATAAATATGGCTCATTGGAGAGCAGGACTTTTTCAGCCAAAGGTAAAATTATTTACTAAATAATAACCATAGTAACCAAACCCTGCAGCAACACCACACCTAATTCATAAATTATTACTTTAAATTTAATGTTAGTCAGGCTTGGCAGACTTCCTGGCAGAACTCTCACGTGTGTTGCTACTCACAGGGCTGCCCATTTTTACCTGTGCATTTTGAAATATTGAAGCTTAGATTGACTTCAGAGCTATCAATAAGAATATTGCATAGTTTTAATAACATGTAGTCAAGGTATTATTATTTCTTGCCCTTAGTGTTGGTGCTTGCCACAGGAGGGAGAGCAAGTGGCAGTCTGGAAATGTTATTTTAGATGAATGTCAAAGGAAGTCAGTGTGGATGAAAAACATAGAAAAGGAAATGCAATGGTGTTATTTGATTTTTCTTCTTTGTAGGTTTTCAGAGGATTATTTATCTTCTCTGGGGAAAACAATTGGTAAGTGAAGTGTGTGGATTTCAGAAATGGGTTCATGCCCAGGATTTTTGGAAATTTAGAAAGGGCAATGCTAAAGAAGATGCAGTAAGAGAAAGGTAAAGTATTATAATGCAGAGCTCACTGCTGTCAGGTTTTCTGTGTTTCTGCTTGCTCAAGACAGCTGGCTGCTGCAATAGCACACAACATTGAGTCCCTGGCTTCATATTTCCAAGTCTGGACTTCATTTTTATTGTCAGGAATTTGTGTTTGGGTCAAAAATATGGCTCCTAAAAGCTGTCAGAAAGTGGCTCAAACTAGGAAATCAATACCCAGAGATGATGCAGCCAAGGATGAACAGAGCAATTGAGGATCACAGGAAATCAGTGCAATTTTTTGTGATATTTTAAACTATGTCAAGCCTGCTTGAAGACAGCATTTCTTGTTTTGGTAATGTTTTGTAAGTATAATAGAATTACAAAGTCATAACACATAAGGACAGAATAAAAGAAGATCATCTGTGTAGCTTGGCTAACATGATTGAAAAGAATCTGTTAAATCTAGAAATGCTTGAAGGATGTGGAAGAGAAATGAAAGCTAGTTTTGCTTCTGTGTTAAAGCTTACACCTTGACAAGATTATCTAATTATTTTAAGAAATGGAACAACTTCTAATACAAAATCATTCATGTCACGAAAGTAGAAAATATTTTGGAAGGAGGCCATGGTGTTGTTTTTCCTCTGCAGTCTGTATTTTCCATCCCAGGATGAAAATGCCCTCAGCTGCACACTTGTCTTCTCTCTCTGCAGGTAATCTTGTGAGAGTTGTGCCACATGGGCTGTTGGTGTTCTTCCCATCGTATCCTGTCATGGATAAGAGCCTGGAATATTGGAGAGTATGTTTGTTGCTCTGCCTTTGTTAGGTGGTTTGGTTACTTGCATCAGGCAGCTTGTAGTTATTCCATTTAACCACATTAATTAAAAGCCTAGTAGAAGTGGTCACTGCTCATGGCAGGGGGGTGGAACTAGATGATTATTAAGGTCCCTTCCAACCCAAAATATTTTGGGATTCTATGAAAAATTCTTTGTTAATAAGTAAATGATAAAATCTGGAATGTAAAATCTCAGGTAAGGCTTCTTTTATTTTGATCACAATATACTGAAGTGCAGTGCTGCAGAAACCAAACCCAAAAGAATCTTAATATATTATTCCATCTGATGTCACATTTTATTTAGTTCACTAGACCTTTCTTTATTAAACCTCTGAATTAGAATTGGTCTCTGTGTTTCAACACTTGGGGAAAAAAATCCCAATATGAGCATTTCTCCTTTAATTTGTAATCACTGCAACTGTAACTTCTGGTACTTCTGTGCTCCTGAGTTGAATGCCCCTGGTGAGATTTGCTAGAACAGTTGTGGTTTAAATGCTGCTTGAAAAGGCAGGGGCAGAGATTTCATGCTGTGGAGTGGGACTGGGAGGTGAGTGCTGCAACCATCCCATCTGCCTGATGTCTGAGGTGCACCAGCTGCAAGGAACCACTGCTAGTGCTCTCAGGGGGTTGCACATTTCTGCTTCCATCTCTTCCTCTGTTTGGCAGGAGAGGAGCAGGCTGTGATGGGGAAGTGTAGTGACCATTTCTGAGCATTTCTGTTCTTGTGGTGTGAGCACACTTGGCATTTCTGATCTGCTCCTTCCCTTTCCAACAGGAGCATGATTTTGCCAAAAGAATTGAAGAAGTGAAGCCGATGTTTGTGGAACCCAGGAACAAAGGAAGCTTTTCAGAGGTTGGTTATTTGCATTACATACCTCTGTCATTTTCAGAAACTGTTTGTATGTTTAATGACCTTCTCTAAGGTGTGTTTGGGTGTGAAACACCCCAGTTTTTGGCCTAGGGTAAAAGTAAAACTCTGACTGCTACTTTGAAGTGTAGTTTTCCTGTGCATCCTTCCTTTCCTCTCTTGTCTGGCCATGCAGGGTTCAGTCTTCATTTAAATCTGGTGACGTAACAGCAGCTAACATACACAAGTGCTGAGTAATCGAGCTGGTGGAAAGCTGTCACTTCAGTAGTCAGCATTTGTGAATGTTCTGTATGACTTTTCCTCCCAGCTCATCCTGCTTTGGATGTTTAAGAATTGTGCAGTGTCATCCTATTTATTTATAGCCATTCTGTTTGCTTCTTGGAATAATTACTATCTAATAATTGCTTTCCTGTTTTGTCTATTTTACTTAACAATCTGCAGAAACACAGGAAAGTCCATCTTATCAGAAGTATCTGAATTGTTTTGTGCTTACCCAGATGTGTTCTGGATTTCACAGTGATACAGGGATTTTGCTGAGAAAATGGCTTCTCACACTTGCAATTAGTTAAAAGTAAAGACAATTGTACTAAGCCAAATTAATCACAGTTTAGATCTTAGTGTACAAGTCAAATTTAGTTAGTACAGGGCAATACCATTCTTCCTCTTAAATGTGTTTATATTTTAGGTTATTGGTGCCTACTATGATAAAGTTGCCTGTCCTAAATCCAATGGAGCTGCTTTTTTGGCAGTGTGTCGGGGCAAGGTAATGTAACTGAGAATTTGTTTCATCTGAGATCAGATTATATAATTGATGGGAAAAAACCTTCATTTTGGATTTAAATACATTTCTTATTATTTGACTGTAATTGTATCTGGGAAAAAAATAAGTGCTCTAAAGCTTCTTCAAAATTAGGTCACATTTCTGTATGATTCACTCCTGTTTTTATTGAAGGGACACATTTTGATTTCTCTGAAGTGGATGAGCATCATACTCGCATTTCATGTTGGCTGCTCACTGAAAACATAATCCATTAGATGAGAACAGCTGTTCTGGAGAACTGTAATGAAACAAGTTAAAACAACACTGCTGCAAACCAAACATACTGCTTAGCTTTGAAACACTTGCTATATTAATTTCCTGTTCTCTGGACACATTTGATGGCCTTTCCTTTGCATCTTCCAGTGCTGGTAAATTGACTTATGTTTATCAGTGAAAATATTTGTGAAATTGCTCTTAGAGCCTTTGTGCTGCTGTTTACTGTGTACCAGGAGAAGATACAACTTCTTTTGCAACTTCGGTCCCAGTCTCCAAAGAGGCTGTTGGAGTGAAGAAAAGATGCAGTTCTCTCAAATTTCGTTGCTGAGATTTGGAGAATTGATTCAGGTGAAAAACAAAACAGGTTTTTTTTTCCTTGATTATTTTTTTCAGTCTGTTCAGCTTTATTCATTTCACAAAGGGATTTGCCAGCACAGTGAGCATGTGCAGGGGACATGAGTGACAGATTCTTGATGAGATGTCAACAGCACAGCTGCTGAATATGGCACTATAGTCTGGTGAATCTGATGGCTTTCTGTTATTGCTTTGAAGTGATTCTGTTAATTTTTACTGTCAGAAGGTTTGCTATGTTGTTATATCTTTTCAGCAACCCAGGGTGTGGAAGGTTTAAATAAAGGTGTTGACATGTTCTCAATACAGCTGATGTTATCCAGGAACATGACAGCCATTAACAGGGTTGGCTGAGCTGTGCTTTGGCAGGGGAAAAAACCAAGTTTAAGCTCCTGGTAATAATAAAAAAAAAAAAAATCTGGTTGAAATTATTCATTGACACTACTGATAAACTACACTTGGCCAGGGAGTTAATTGAATGGAGAAAAAGGGCCAACAACTGCTGAATTGCTCTGAAATGTCACTGAAAACTCCATTGAGGGTGGAAAACTGTCCCTGCAGGCCAGTGAAGGCTTGGACTTTGCAGACATAAATGGACGAGGAGTCATCATTACTGGGCTTCCGTTTCCCCCTCGTATGGAGCCCAGAGTCATTTTAAAGATGCAATTCCTGGATGAGATGAGGAGAAGTGGTGCAGGTGCACAGGTAAGACTGGGCAGCTTCTCACTTTTGGCTGTTTGTATGTTCTTGTCATTGGTTCTCCCTCTTGTCCCAGTGGGTTTTGGGTTTTGTTATCCTCTCAGCCTCATGGGACCATGAATATCAAAAATTCAAACAGCCTTGGGAATTTCTCACAAATTCCACTTTTTTTTAATAGTGTTGAGGGTTGCAAATTCTGGCACAGTCTTAAATATAGGCCCCAATAAATATTGTAATTAAAGTTTACAAAATCTTTGTATGTGTGTTACCCATCTCTCATTCGCAGGGATGTTTTTCATCCAGAGAGAGCGTGGGCAGTAAGAATGGCCTGTGCTGGCTGTTATGGGAATTCCTGTGTTGGAAGTGTGGTGGTGTGTGTCGGGGTGTTTGGGTTTGATGTTCTATTGCTTCAGGCACAATAATGAATGACATTACAATTTAGTCTGTTCTGCAGGTCTTAAAGAATATGGTGAGTCTGTTGTACTTCCAAGGCTCTGAGTGCACCATATAGGAAATACCCTCTCCAGCTGGACATTGCTGCTTGAGTTTTCTGTGCTCTGGAAATCAGGTGTGACTTTTGAGTCCACCTGTCTTTGGTTTTCCTCAGCTCTTTGAGATTTGTCAGTACATGTGGTTGATATTACCCAACATCTGTGCTTCACTTTTTATTTCTTTAGGAAAAAAAAATAATTACTGTACAGCACAGAGAATACATTTTCCCTGGTAAATAATGTTCATTCTTCCTCCTCCCTCTTGCAGTATCTGTCTGGGCGTGAGTGGTACAGTCAGCAAGCGTCCCGGGCTGTCAACCAGGCCATCGGCCGGGTCATCAGGCACCGCCAGGACTACGGGGCCATCTTCCTGTGTGACCACAGGTAAACCCTGGCCCACTGAATCCCAGAATGTTTGGGGTTGGAAGGAATCTTAAAGCTCATCTCATTCCAACCCCCTGCCAAGGGCAGAGACACCTTCCACCATACCAAGCCCTGTCCAACCTGGCCTTGAGCACTTCCAGGTTTGGGGCATCAACAGCTTTATATCCCAACATAAGTATTGGTATTTTGAATATAAATGTGCTGATGTTGCTGCTTGGAAAAGGCTACTGATCATAATAATAAAATTAATTTATATAGCAGGTTATAGAAATATTGCACTATTTCAGGAAACTAACTGGATTGTTATCTTCTGCTCTATGTAGTCTTGGAGTTGCAGAAGGAGATTAATGGTTTTAATGGAAAATAAATTTTTGGAATTCTTGTAATACCACAGGAAATTATGTGACAGCAATTTATGGCTTTGCATTTTTTCCATCTTTCATTTGAGATGGCAGTCAGCAGCACTGCAGTGTTGAGAGAAGAAGAATGGAAATGAGGACACGTTGTTACTGAAAAAATACTATTTATAGTCATATCTTATATTAACATTATACTGCATTAATATTCATTTCTGTAATGCTAATTAGTAGAATATATGTATTATAGGCAACAGGAGTTTAATTGATAGTACATGGAATCAGCAAAGCCCTTTGTCCTGAGCGAAGGCATCACCCCATTATATTTACTGCCCTGTTATGTCTTTATTTGTGTTGCTGCTCCTCTCTTGTCCTTTTGGATAGTGTCTTGGTTTGAAAAGACAAGTGTCTGCCAAAAATGCAGTAATACAAAACAACACTGACAGAATACGACCTGGCACCCTGTGGGTCAGGGTGGTGGCAGCAGTCCCATTAAATGGTGGCTGCAGCCCTCCTGCAGTGACAGATATGCTTCTCTTGAAGCAATGATCCTGTAGAAGGGAGTAGTTTTCCTCTGGAGATCCAGTGGTGGTGTAGATGGGCCTGGTCTTCCTCTGGGAATGCAGTGGGAAAAGGCTGCCTGTGGTGTTCCAAATCTCAGATTATATCCAGGTAGGAATGCTTGGCTCCTCCCCCTGGGTGGAGCATCTCACAATAGAATGATGTAATTTTATCAATCATGCAGTGAGACTCAATGGCCCATGAACAGAAGATCTCCCTGGAGGGAGGATGGGTGGAGGAAATAAAGAGAACTGCCCCACCTGGCTTTAACAGAAGATAACTGTCCCACCTGGTTCTAACAGATGGCAATAGAATATGCACCCCCGGCCTCATCTTGCATTGCAACCTAGAACAGATAATGATTTAGGGTTCTTTTAATTAATTTAGCCCAACCTGGCAAATAATTCTCAGGTTTTCCCATCCTGCCCAGGTTCACAACTTGTGATGTCAGGGGCAAACTGCCTTCGTGGGTCCGTCCCTACGTGAACGTTTATGACAACTTCGGGCACGCGGTCAGAAGTGTCTCCCTCTTCTTCCGTGTTGCTCAAGAAATTGTAAGTGTCTTTTAAAAAACCCCACAAAATTAACAACTTTCCTGAATAGTGTTGGAAACTAGGAATATTAAGCTAGGTGGGAGATGTGAGACAAGCACAAATGATCTCAAATTGGAAGGGATGCTTAAGGATCACCGAGTCCAGCTCTCTGCTCCTCACAAGCCTGTCCAACACGGAGTCACTTGTCACTTCTAAGCACTGGAAGATTTACTGGAAAGGAGGTATGCCTCATCTTTCCCCGTGAGTGATCTGGGACAGGATGTTGTTCTTATGCTGGGCAACTCATTAGGTTAGATCACAAAAATAACTTCCTCTTCCACTTCCTCCTAAATAAACATGTATTTGTTGGCTTGTATGCAAATCCTGGAACTGATATTGGCATCCAGAAGCTTTCTGTCTCAGGGAGAGGTTATGTGTACGGAAGGATCATACCCCAAAATTTAAACTGAAGCTGACTGGTAATAAAGAGTAATACAAACCATCAGTTGTTATTACAGTTCAACACTGGATCATCTTTATTAAAACAGCTTCTCCATTAGTATTAGGAAACTCATGTTGTCTGTAATAGTTCCTTGATTTAAAAAGTAATACTGTAAAAAGGCTTCCTAATTCACTGGAGAAAGTCATAGCAAGAAATGGGCTGGAAGCCAGAATGGGAAATTCTTTGCTCCCAAAACAGGTTAAGATTAAAATAAGCACTTAAAAATTTCATTTACAGACTTGAACAACTTCCTGGAAGATGCTTTAGCCAAATACAAGGCTAAATTAGTTGTTCAGGCTAATTAGTTACATATGGATGATGCTGCAGGGACTTGATGATCTTTTCTGATCAGGAATGACAGTTTTATGGTAAATCAAAACCACAACCCGATGTGCTTTGTCAGAAGGAGCTGTTTTTGCAGGGGTAGCATTAGGAAGTGATTGTCCTTTAGAAGATCATGATCCTTTTTCTGGTACCAGGTGACTTAGAGTTAAGCCTCCTTACTGCACTTCAGCTGTGTCACTTGGAAGCTGTTTGATCCTTTTTTTCAAAAGCCCATAAACCCAGAGTGTGCAACAGTCTTGCTAGCAAAGGTTGTTTTGGGAAAAGGAGATGTCTTTGGATTGTTGCTGAGATTTTTGGTCACAGATGGAGTGGAAAAGTGGCCTTTGCCTATTGTAACACTTTGTAAACTGCTTGCAGATGCCCCTACCCCTGCCTCAGTGCCCTCCTGGACATGCTGGTTCCCTAAGTGAAAGCAATGCAGCACCATCTACTTCATCTGAGCAGATCCTCTCCCTGCAAAAAGCTAAAAACCTGGATGACCATGTTCCAAGTTTGAAGAGGAAAAGGAAAGGTAATGTTTGGGTCCTCACAGATGCACTTTTCTGTTTCAAGCTGAATGATTAAAGGATGATCAAGAGTCTAGAAACTGGGAGAGAAAGCAAGGAGAGCTCAAAGACTGATGTAAAAGTTGTGTCAGAAGGGACACAGTTAAGCATTAGAAAGTGAGGGGAAACAGTGGCAGCTGCAGAGAAAAGAGGCAGATGGGACCAGCGAAAGTGTTCCTCAGAGGAGAAGGAGTTTTTGGTGGAGTATGGAAAATAAGAATTAGAAGTCTCTTTCTGCCTAGCACTGGCTTCTATATGTCCTCATTCCATCCTGTTGTATAGATGACTCTTACTCAGTAATCTAAAAAAACAAAAAGGACATGGGAACAAAACCATATTTAAAATTTCGTGGGTAGCTAATGCTAAAGAATAAAGCATTTCTCATGTCAGATATTCTTTCAGCACTCTAGACTGCTTGCTGGTTTGGACCAGAGCAGTGAAGTTTGTTTAAAATTGTGGTTCCTAATCAGTTATGAGTGAGGGTGAGTTCACACTGAGTTTAAGCCAGTTGCTACTGATAGGTAAGGCTTTATAAAGCCTGGCAGCAGCCAGTGTGATTGCTGGTTATTGTTCAAAGGGATTACTTTGGCCACCACTTTTCCCCCCTCTCCGTTTCCAACTGCGCACTTTTTGCTCCTTCCTTTGAGTCCATTCCATCTTTTGTGCAGTTGCAGAGTGAGCAGCTGAGCTTTGCTGATCCAGTTTATTTACCTTCCATACACTTGACTGCCAGATCCATCTCAAAGGGTGGGCTGGAAGTGTGACTGGAGGTGAAGGGATGAAGCTGCATTTCCTGTTTAATAGAGATTTTCAGTTGCATTGCATCAGCTGTAACGTCAAACTCCCCTGTAGTCATAGTGATCATAATATACTCCCATTCTTATCAAAATAGTGACTTTCCTTAGTAACTGACCGTTGGACTAATTTCACAAAGTCGTGGAAATACATTTTGAAGGTAATGCTTTACAAAAATATCAAACTGATACTAATTTAACCCTACTTACAGATGAAAATTCTTGTATTTGAAACCTGGATTCTGATTAGTGAGAATATGTAATTTGGGACCTTGGTGACTGTGTCTTATGGGTATTGATACTGTAAGAATTGCAGGCTCTAAAAAAACTTGCTCTGTTTAAAAGTAATAAATAGTGTTTTATACCAAAATCTCTAAAAACTCTGGAACTCAGTTTTGGGAAAATCCATAAATCTAAAATAATTGAACGCAGCTGCTGCAGGAGGACTTTTTCCAATTGATCCTAAGCCATTTTGGGGTTAAGTGACTTAAGGAAAAGTTTGGGAGCAGTCTGCCACGTTGTGGTAGCAAATGCTTGGTGAATTTTGGAAGTGATGTGTAACAGCAGTCATCTTACTAAATTATATAATGCAATTTTCAAGAGGTGGAAGATTATTTAATTAATCAACACATATTGGGTTGCTTTGTAAGATGGGGAGCTGTCACTAAATTAAAGAAAATGCAGGGGAGAACGTGGAATGTGAATTTGTCTGCTGTGTTCTGTGTGGTGGCAGTAAATGGAGATGGAGCACCCAGCCTGTGTGTGGAATATGAACAAGAGTTTGTCTCGCCCCGAAGAAAATGCGTTGGGCTCTTGGATGCCTTGGAGCGCAGTGAGAAGGGCAATGAAGATGCAGAGGAGGAAACTGATTTGCCAGGAGAGGAAGAGGTAATGGCAAAATACTTCCTTATGAGTAAAAATTGCAGGCTCTAAAGCAAAATGGTTTTGGCATCCAGAGAACCAGCTCAACCCTCTAGGAAGAAAAGCTCACTGTAATCAGCACCAGTAACTGCAAGTTCTCATAACTAAATTAGTCAAAGGGTTTCCTTGCCACTTTCAAGCAGATGATCAACAGGTATGTGCTTGTTCTGTGCTCCAAGGCTGCTGACCAGAGATTCCTGGAAGTTAACCACACTTTCTGAGGAGCAAGGAGCTCTCAGAGAAGAGGTTTGTAAACATATGATTTGTCCTGGGTGGAGCCTGTGTCAGCACTTGGTATGAGACCAGATATTGAATTCAAAAAAGGGTGGGAGAGGGTTTATGGATTAGAAATTGCATTTTCACACGAAAATCTTTGATTTCACCCCAGAGAAAGAATGTTGCTGACTTGTGGAATATTTTATCTGAATCAAAAATCCTCTATCACAAGATCAACAAAGCTGCTTCTGTGCTGTTAATTTTCTTTCCTCTTGGATTGGTATTTTTGATACATCATTGATTAAGCTGTGTTCTTGCTTTCCCAAAATCCCTGTTTGCAGCAGTTGGAGAGGTGGCTGCCTTTACTTGGCTGGAGTATTTTACTGCTGGCTTGCAGACCCATTCAGCAATGCCTATTGCAGCATTCTTAAGTACTTTCCTCAGGGGAAGAATGCCTGAGGTAAAATGTGTAAATGTAGGAGTGTCTGGGGAATATCTGAGTAGGCCCCAGGACATGAATGGAGGCACATACAGAACGGAGGGAATGTACAAAGGGCAGCAAATATTTAACTTGTGTGCAGCCAAATGGGAAATGGGCTCTGTCACCCATTGGGTGGCCATGACATCGACACCAAAACCTATTCTTTGGAAAGCCTGGCACATTCCCAGGGACTTTGGTAACTCAGCAACAGAATATTCCAACACAGCTGCAGTGCTTTTGGCAGAGCTCAGCATTTCCTGGAGTCATGTAAGCTGATAGGCCCAACAACTTGACAGTTGCTCAGGTCTACTTCCTATTTCTGTATTTGGCATTGCTGCTTGTCTGAGAGCTCTGGGGTCACCCTGTGCTGCTCTCAAATTGGTGACCTGATCCCAGCAGTCTGGTGAGTGTAGTCTTGAGACAGGCAGTGGCTCTCAGGCAGCCAGCTTTCACTGAGTCCAGCACTGAGCACTGGATTTGGATTGAGGATGGGGTTGGTCATTTCCTGTCTTCACCATCCAGCATAGTATCTGTGTTATCACTTTTCCTTTAGTCAAAGTTACACTGCACTCTTGATACCTAAATGGTGAAAGTTTAGCTGCTCTCATTCTGAAAGAATTTGCTTTGTCACCTCAAAAATTCACTATAAAAGTAATAATTTCCTAATCCATTTAAGTATTAACAGTTCCCTGTAATCAGATTTCTTTGTCAGTTACACATCATGTCTAGGAAGCCTTATTTCTGCTGAATCATGCTCTTCAAGGTGCTGCCTTTACATAGCACAGGACTAAGAAGATGGTTTTGATAATTTTTCTGACTTATGCATGTATCTTAAATATTTGATTTGCTGCCTATATTCCAGTTCTTCACTCCCTTATATACAGGGAGTTCCAGGCAGGAAAGTGGAGTGTGAACCACTGGTTACACACAGTCTGTGTACACTCTCAGGCTGCCCTGGAACACTGCTGTGAGTCCAGCTTTGCTTAGCCAGGAATTTGCACCCTCAAGACCAACTTTGTGATTAATTTCTTCCAGTTTGGTCTCTGTGAGTTGTCCAGTAAATTTCTACCCTTTAGAAGCAGGTATATGCCCAGACTCTGGTACAATAATTTAGGTTGATTTGTTTTGCTTTCTTGAATGGTGTCAAAACTGGGTTACCAGGTTTTACTGCTGGAAATACCTAAATTAAATGGGCAATAACTCTGAAAAGCATTTTTTGTACCTTACTTTCTTTTCATCTTCACAGGCACATCGGCTGTCCACACTTTCCCTTCAGTATGAGAAGAGATTAACAGATGAGCAGAAAGGAGGAAGGAAGAAAATAAAGCTAGTCAGCAATACAGTATGTGTTTCCCTGTGTCTGTGCCATCCCTTTTGGATGTGTCTGTGCCATCCCTTTTGATTTATAGATTGCTTTAATTTGAATTGGAAATTTCCAGGCAGACAGATAACTGACACTAGAACAAGTGTGTTTTTTCTCCAAATTGGAAATATTCGTCAGTGCACATCTGAAAGCTATTTGTCATGCTCTTTCCCAAATCCAGACATCCCAGACTAAATCAAGCACAGGTCCACATAGGGTGGTAGGTGAAAAGAATTGTTTTCTGACACTGATTGCTTTGTGAACAATTTGACTGGGTTTGGTTTCATTCTTTTTGATTAAAATGGAATAGTTCAATTGGCAGGGACCTACAATGATCAGCAAGTCCAGCTGCTCTGGTAGAGCCTCAGATGGTTGAACTGACCAGTTTGGGGTAAGGGATCACATCCTACCCCCATGAGGTGGGACATGGTTGTGTGTTAACTCTGCAGCTGTGCATTACTGTTTTGTCCTGTCTCCAAACCCAGTTAACTCATTATGCAGCTAATTGCTTAAGTCACAGTAAATTCAGGAGAATTCCCTGGGTGATGTGAGTGCCAGTAGTTGTCCAAGGTGCTGTCCTAACTGGATGTTCCCTGTCTGTCAATCTGCCAAGCACCTGGCAAACGAAACTGATCCCAAAGCCGATAATATCCAAGAGAAGATAGAAGAGAACAGGTTCATGCAAAAGGCTGTGTTTGCAGTTTGTTGCTATCTGATGTCATGATGAGTCAGCTCAGCCTCCAGTTTTGGAATAAATGTCATTTTATTAACCCTTCTCTTAAGAATAGAATTGTGCAATGATACTTGGCTACCTTCTCTAGGAATTTTTCCTGAAGCTGTCTGTTTTGTCAGGGGGCAAGGTGAATAATGCATGAATTACGGGGGTGACTGCAATAACTACACCTAACTCCTGAAGCTGTCTGTTTTGTCAGGGGGCAAGGTGAATAATACATGAATTACGGTGGTGACTGCCATAACTACACCCTGTTAGCTGAAAACATCCGTGGTCTAGTGGAGAGGGTGGCGCTGCTGGGCGGGCCATTGCACTGGATGATCTTAGAGGACTTCTCCAACCTCAGCGATTCTATGATTCATTATCCTATGTATTGCTTCCACCTGAAATTAACCCTTCACGTGCTGCTTTTGACTGAGGGGTGTTTCCTGCCTTGCAGCAGGAGCGGAGAGCGGAGCCGGCGGAGCCCAAGAAGGCGCGAGCCACGTTTTACATCGCCACTGTGAAGGACACCCTGAGCCAGCAGAACTATGAGCTCTTCTCCAAGGCTCTGCAGCAGTACAAGAAGACAGATGACTTCCATGCCATGCTGTCCCAGATGAGCTCCCTCTTTGCAGAGGATGAAAAAAAGCACGTCTTGCTGCGAGGTACTGTCAGAGTGTTTGTACATCCCTGGTGTATTTGTAGAAGTGGTTTTCATATTTTAAACAGGCTTGGATACTTCAGAAATGTTTTAGATGTGAAGTACAGCTCAATTAAAATGATTCATCGCTTTATATTCCCAGATAACACAGAAGATTCTCATCAATCTGATTATCATGTGTTAGCTCACATCTTGATTTGAAGAAAATCATATTCCATGGAAATTTGTGTTATTTTCAGCCTTGTCTAAAAGAACACTGACTTATTCCTGGTAGTTTAGGAGATTACAAGTGTGGCTGTGTGAGTTGGAGAGATGCCTTCATAAGGTTTGGTGCTAAAGCAGTAAATAGACAGAATATAGAGGGAAATTATCTGTTTAGATAATTGTGAGTATAAAACAAAGGATCTGGGCAAACATGGATAGTTACTGCATTGGCTGGTTTTTTATTGCCTTTTAACAACTGTACTGACAGGAACTGAATCCCCAGCATGATTTATTCTAGTTTAACAGTATTTTCTGTAATTTTCTGTAATTTTTCCTTTCCCTCTCAGCTTGTGAACAAAAGGACAGATTTTTTTCTGTGACTTTTTCATCAATTGACATAATAAATGCATAGTTCTGCATCTTGTAAATAGTTTCAGGAAAATTCTAAGGTTAAAGAATGGGAAGTTCAGTCACTTGGTTTCCCAGTTTGCTATGATCTACATAAATAAGAAAATATTTGATCATCAAATCAAGATCTAAGTCTAGTTTTGAAAACTATCAGGCACCTGAAACCTAAAGTTGTTTTAATGTTTAGGGTTCTGGTTGGCCAGCATTTTGTGGTGAATAAGTAACATGAGGTGTAAAGTTAACAGTTCATCAGTTATTTGAAGTATCAGCCTGGCAGTTACTTGGATCTCGTGGTTTCTGAGGCACCTCAAGGGCTGTTTCACTGAGAGGTCAGTTACTTTATATTTACTGTGAAAAAATGAGGTTTTACCTGCTGGTGATAATATTGCTCAATCTTTGCATGATAGCTGACCTTTGTGTAATTTGTGAGTGTGCTTATTGTATAAATATTAGGATAAAAGCATTTAGATTTTAATTTATTTAGTTGCACCTTTTTATCTAACCTTGAAGTTCCGCTGTTGTAGCTTTCAGTAGCATTTATTGCCTGTTGTGGATTGACTTTTTTTCTCTTTCTCTTTTTCTTTCTTTCTCTCTCTCTCTCTTTCTCTCTCTCTCTCTCTCTCTTTCTCTCTCTCTCTTTCTCGCTCTCTCTTTCTCTCTCTCTCTTTCTCGCTCTCTCTTTCTCTCTCTCTCTTTCTCGCTCTCTCTTTCTCTCTCTCTCTTTCTCGCTCTCTCTTTCTCTCTCTCTCTTTCTCGCTCTCTCTTTCTCTCTCTCTCTTTCTCGCTCTCTCTTTCTCTCTCTCTCTTTCTCGCTCTCTCTTTCTCTCTCTCTCTTTCTCGCTCTCTCTTTCTCTCTCTCTCTTTCTCGCTCTCTCTTTCTCTCTCTCTCTTTCTCTCTTTCTTTTTCTCTTTCTTCCTTTCTTCCCTTCCCTTCCTTTCTTTCTTTCCCCCCTTTTCCCTCTCTCTGATGCAAGATTTTTACCAGTTTGTCCGACCCCAGCATAAAAAGCAGTTTGATGAAGCGTGCTACAATCTGACTGGAGTGGGCTGTGGCTACAAACCTGAGCACAGCCTCCCACGGGAGGAGAGGGAGATCCTGGCCAAGAGAATGGGTGAGAGCTTGCTTCAGTTGTAGCACTTGAAGGACGAATGTCCTTGTTCACCCAGTCGTAGAGCAGGATGTGTCTGAGATGTAGAAACTCAAGGAAGTTCAAGTTAATCAATACTGAGCTGAGTCTCTGCTCTCCATGATCCTCTTGCCTTCCCTTGAGCTGTGCAGATGCCTGAGTGTTGGTTACTGCAGAGTTGGTAAAGATGTCATTTTGTTACAAAAGGGGATTTTACTGATCTGCTTAAATCATTTACTCTGGGAAATTAAACAAGCTTGTGTGTGTGTTCTTTGCTGCCCACATAGTGCCAGCAGAATTGTGAATAGAGGGTGATTGTGTCCTCACAGAACTTGTCAAATCTGTGAAATCCTGGAGCAGTAAAGTTCTGAAAAAGTGGGGTGTTAGCTTATCATCAGAGAAATAAATCTATGTGGAATCCCAGACTGGTTTGGGTTGAAAGGAACTTTAAAACTCATCCAGTTCCACCCCCTGCCATGGGCAGGGACACCTTCCACCATCCCAGGTTGCTCCAAGCCCCATCCTGTCAGGTCACAAGGGTAGATCCAACAAGAAGCAGTTTTCAATTGTTTCTTTAATAGTGAGGGTTCAGACAGTATTAGACTGCTGAATCATAATCACTGTTGGGTTTATGCTGTCCTCAGGTTCTGAGGGTGGACCTTAGTGCCAAAGGCTGAAGCCCTTTAAGCACTCTACCCATGCTTTAAATTAGTTTTAAATCTGCAATATGGACCCACATAACCCGTTTATTACAATTAAATGCTCATTTTATCTTTGCTGCCTACCATCAAAAGCAAAGATCAAGTCAAATGGACTTATGTTTAAAACGCAATCCTCTCTGCAGTGGTATTTATTTTGATGCTGCAAAACTGTATAATTACTGCTTCATTTTTTAAATTGTTAATTGTCACATTTCTCTTTATCTTTCCTTTCTAACGAAAAAAGGCTGATGTGTAGTGTTGCATTTTAGTTAAATGGTTTGCTCTGTCTCACCCCTCCAAAATGTACAGTTTATTCCAAGCTGTGTTCCTCCCCTGAAATACCATGTATCTGTAATCCCATTGGCCCAGGTCTTATTCTGTGCCCACTTTGAATGTCCCTGTTAAGCTGTTTGAGGGGGACCAGATTCTCTGTTGGCCCTTCTCTCCCCTAGGCTCTCCCTCTCTCCCCCTCCCCCCTCAGTAACCATGCTGCTCCCAGGGGTGGGACCCCCAATAAACCCTCATCTGATCAGCACCCTCAAAAGCCATGTGGAGTCTCCTTGTCTTCCTGCTGCTGCCACCAAACTCACAGCCTAGGGGACCCTCCGGGGACTCCCCAGGGACCCCCTCCTTCAAACAACTGCAACACCATCCACCCTGGCCTCGGACACTTCCAGGGATGGGGCAGCCTCAGCTTCTGTGGGTTGCTCAGATGTTTTCCGCACAGGATGGCATACATTGAAACGCACCATTCCATGTTCATTCTTCCCTAAGTTCACTGTTAATGGACTGGTTTCATTTAACAGAAGAAAAACAGAGCCAGCAGAAAAGTACATTCTCCAAGGCCTCGTGTGCTCAGCTGAACCCAGGGCTCCACCTGAACCAAGGAGGATCCCACTTGGCAACAGGACTGAATAGTGCAGGTACCCTCCATGTTCAGTAAAAACCCAGTCTATTCTGTTTTATTTCATCACTGACTGGAAGTTCTCCTGGGGCAAACCAATGTTCTTTATGCTTGCCTAGCACAGTGAGTCTCTGTAGGTGGGAGGGATGATAATTCAGAATTTTCAGCAAGGATTGTGCAAAACAAAACACGAAAGTCAATAAATTAAACCAAGGTGGATGTGAAAGAAACCAGCTGAAGCCAGACATTTTTGCTAGAGGCTGAGCTGGGAAAAGTGGGGGTTGAGCACAGGTCTGCTGGGCTTCCTGTTTGTCCAGGGTCCATGAAAGGGAGCCAGTTAAGGAGTGTGAGTTAAGGTTACGTCAGTATGAATTCAGGTATGAAGAAACTGTTTCATTTTGTTCTTGGTGTAATGTGTACACTCCCTCTGTGGACAGCCTGTTTTCTTCTGCAGAAACAGAGAGTACTAAGTGTAATCTCTGTGTGCATCCCTCTAATCTCACTCTGTCCCGTATTTATCTTCAAGCTCATGGGCTCATTTATTATTTAATTATGGGTTTTCCTGAGAAGAGCTGGGAATTGTTTGTGTTTCTCACAAGGGAATGAGTAGGATCATTGGACAGCTTAGAAGTTTTTCTTTAGAGGACAAAGAATAGTCAAATGCTAATCCTTTCTTTTAAAAAACAAGCCAGTTTCCTGAAAGGCTTTAAGTACTTTTAATGTGTGAAGCCATACTGTTTCTTTTGATTTGTTTTCCCATTTTCTTTTCTATTTTGGGGATACCTGAATAAAGCAGAATCTTAGTAATTATCTTGTCCTGAAACCATTAGAATAGTTTCACAGAAACTTGTTTCCACAAAAAGTAATTGAGAAAACAATACGAATAAATGGATGTTTTATTTATATGTCTCCTTAAGAAGAGAATGCTTTTGTGGAAATATGAGAAAGCTCTAGGATATGCAATGAATACTGATTATAAAATGCACACCCAAGTTTTTTCCCCTTCCAGCAAATTGAATGAAGCCTGTGTTTTGAAACCTAATTATCTTTATCACCCAATAAAGAACTTTTAAAGATCTAGATACCAAAATATATGGCAGGTTAATTTAAATAAGTTTCTTATCATATCCTTCATTCATATTTGCATGCCTGTGATATGCAAACCAGAAGTTTCTTCTCTAAAAGATATCAGAAATGAGAGAGTAGTATTGTAAATAAAGTTCACTTGGCATTTAGCAGGATGTTCCAAGCTGCTCCTACCTTTTGCAGACCTCCTACATGGCTCTTGTGCTCTCTTGAGTGTTGTTTTCAGGTTAGATAGTATTTTTAGATATTGTTTTCCATTTAGGAAACACACACCCCACCCCTTGTCTGCTCTTATTATTAAGGGGTGAGAAATCTGAACTTTAAAATTACCCATTTCAGGCCAGCAGAGTTGGTTTACCCATCTGTTTAAGATGCTTTTACTCCTTCAAAGCCTGATTTATTGTTGACCTCCATGCCCCTTTTCCTCATTCCCTAGTGACCTTCTGACACATTTCTCCACTGAAAACGATCAAGGAGCTCCAGAAGATGCTAAAAGTGATCCCCAGAATAATTTTGCTCTGTTGCCATTTCCAGGAGCAGGTCTGGCCATGCCACAGGGAGGTGTATGGCTGGGCAGGTGGGGTTGGCTTCACCACTTTGAAATAGTTCAGGAATTCCCTCCAAATGGAGTGAGAAGTGGATATGATGGAGTGAGCAGTGTTCCTCAAGCCCTGCTCATGCATTCTTTGTCTCCCAGGGCAGAATGCCAGTGCAGCTCCAAGGAAAGAGGCTGAAAAGGCTCCAGGCTCCAGGAGAGAGCATCACCAGGCCCTCAGGACTGCCTATCTCAGTGATGTGCAGAGGGCTTTGGACAAAGGCAGCTACAGCCAGTTCTACCAGGCTCTGCTGGCTTACAAGAAGACAGATAATTACGATGCCATGGTGTCGGTGGTGGCAGCCCTCACCACCGAGAGGCCACAGGACTTTCATCTCCTACAAAGTAAGGGGTTTTTTAAAAATCACTCTTATTTATTTGAAAGGAAAGTGTGGGTGCTGTGATCTCATGTGAGGTCTCACCTTTTGGTTTAGCTACCCAGATCAGTGGAGCAGCAGAACAATGTGTTCAATGAATGCCATTCAGAGAGCAAAACATGTCAAGGTTATAAAATGTTACCTCTGTCTGTTCAGGTAGAAATTGTCCATTAAAAACATTACACAACACCTCAGTAATTGCAGTCCTAACCTTCATCCCACCTAACTGTTTTTTCTCCTCAATTACTACAATTGCCCTTTAGAAAGGACAGTGCTGACTATTGAACTGATCCAATTTTATTCCCATGACCAGTGATTGCTGTAGTGGTGCTAAGTTCTTAGATCACTTCCAGGTTTCAGGATAAGCAGTTAAGCTTTTGATTTACTATTCTTCTACAGAGCTTCAGCTGAAAATATTTCTGGAACTGTGATATAATTTATTTTCTCAGAAGTGGTTTGTTTTGTTTTATTTTCCTTTCATGGGTTTAGTGACGGAAAGGTTTAGGGAGCTACAGGTTTTTGAAATTTGAAATTGTACTTAATTGTTTGAAAGAAGAAGAGGCATTATATGCTGATCCTGACTGCCTCAGTGGTAATATCTTGTGTGATGTGACACCTCAGTTTCACCTTCTCCAGTGTCTCTGAGGTGACTCTTCTGCTGGAAATGATGCATTCGGTGTATGCTGGGAAATGCTGATGGAATTTTGTTTGTTATCTTAAGCAGATAACAATAAATATTCCACTGGCCTTGAACAGATAACATAGTCTGCAAGTTGTGAGAGAATACCCTTATCCTGGTGCGTTAACTAGTTGGATTAGTCTTGGCAAAGTGGAGAGTGGGAGAAAATGAGCTGTGTGACACCGTGAGTCATAACCTGCCCCTGAGCACTCTTTCACGGTCTCTGTCTCTACTGAGCAAATGGTTTGACCTCAGAGGACCTTGTGGTAGAATTGTCTGTGCTTGGCAGTAAGTCATAATCGGGGTTTTTTAGAATTTCTCTGTGTGTGTGTTGTGAATCCTTGTCAACCAAACAGTAACAAGAAATTTCCTTCCTGAGAGTCTCTGGATATTGTGTGTATAGCTGATGTTCTTAAATCACTTGTCAGGTGGAGTGCTGAGGCGCGTGTTTATTCTGAGCTGTAGATAGTGGAAGAATTTCAAGACAAATTGAGATTATTTTCAATACTAACTACTCGTCTGCCTTCTGGCAAGGAAAGCCCCGTAATTATAAAAGTCACAAAAGCATCAAGTGTTTCACTAAGCTGAAGATACTCTGAGGAATCAGACTGATATTATTCAGCTTCCAAAGAATTTCTCCCCTCCAAAGCAAGGAGTCTTCCATGGTCAGGCATTGATTTTCCTATGCATTTGACTGTATTTTCCTATGCACTTGACTCTGTTTTCTTTTGGCCAGGGTTTTACATGTTCGTGCGTCCTCACCACAAAGAGCAGTTCAGAGAGCTGTGTAAGGGTTTGACTGGAATGGTCTGTGGTGATGGAGAGAAGCAGCTGCAACAGTTGGAGCAAAGTGAAGGGAAACCCCAGAGCTTGGAGAGCTGCACAAAAGGAATCGGCCACATGCAAGGTAGGGAATGAACAGTTGTCACAAGTTTAGAATCTTACTTATTATTGTGATGGGTAGGGCTCAACAGCCTCAGAATCATAGAATCACAGACTGGCTTGAGTTGCAAGAGACCTTAAACCTTGTTCCACCCCCTGCCATGGGCAGGGACACCTTCCATAGACCAGGTTTCCCCAGGCCATGTCCAACCTGGCCTTGAACACTTCCAGGAATGGAGCAGCCACAGCTTCTCTGGGCATCCTGTGCCAGGGCTTCACCACCCTCACAAGGAAGAATTTCCCCCTAATCTCTAATCTAAACCTGCTCTCCTTTAGTTTAAGGCCATTTGCCCTTGTCCTATCGCTCCCCACCCCTGTGAAAAGTCCCTCTCCTGCGCTAGGGCCTCCCTGCCTGAGGCCTGTCAAGGAGAATCAACGTCACTGGTTATCTCTGCATTGGGTTAACAAAACCACACTCAAACAGGAGTAAGATAAAAGGTAACATGAGATGGGGAAGTGTGAGGAAATAAGAAAGAAATGAGTTATAGTTCTGCCATGTCTAAACTGTGGAGTGTGTTAAGGGTGAAGGCAGAATTTTTACATCTAAGTGGGATGGGAGCAGGGGGGGATCAAGGTCCATTCTGAAGGAAGAAGTGCCATAGAACTATTTCAATATAAAGGATCTCTTTCAGTAATATTGCATGTGTTAGTATCTATCAAAAATATCTGTTGCCAAGCACTATGGCATAAAAGCTAGTTCTTTAAATTTGTTTTTCTTCTTATACAATGACAACTGGGTGAATTTACTGCTGTCTGTGTTTTGCAGAGTCTTAGTGTTTGTTTTGCATGATACAGGTTTATACACTGGTTTTCTCTTTTTCTCCCCAGACGCAGCCCCTTCTAAGAGTGGGGCACCAGAAAAAATTCAGAGTAAGATCTCCTCCTTCTGCTTCAGCCAGAAAAGTGAACTTGAGTTGCCAAAGACTGAAGTGTCCAAAGAAACCAATAATGTGAGAGCCCCCACAGACTCTGGAGTTGTGCCCATCTTTCCCCTAGAGATGGAACCAGAGTATGGTAGGTACAGGAGAGGTTTGGGATGTAATTTTTTAATACTTGGGAATAAAGATAAATTACGAAATGAGACTGAAGGTGTATGAAACCACTGGTTCCTGCCTGTATTTGCTCAGGTGCAGTGTGATTGGTGTGGTTTGCTGAGGAGAATCTGTATTTCTGTACCTTGCATGTGCTCTCAAAGTTCTTCATTGTCTTTGTCACAATGCTTTAGTGGTTTCCTGAGAACTCTAGGGATTTTTTCTTGACAACTTCCTTGTAAAGGAAGGATGTAACCCAAGTTCCTACTGGGATCTGAAGCATCAAGAGTCTGTGAGGTCACTTGAAAGAAATAATGTGGCAGGGCACTGTTGAGGTAGTTCATGACGCTCATGGTCATTGTTTTCTGGACTGCACTGGAAGTGTGGCTACATGAGAATTTTGCAGGTAATTACAGGAATTTAGTCATTTCCTCCCTCTCTTTCTCTCTCTTCACCTTCCCCTCTGTTCTAGGAAGATTCCACTGCTCTAACTGCAAATCCGAGGATGATGTGCCTTTTAAATGCCCATTATGTGACTTCACTTGCTGCAAAACGTGCTGGAAGCAGTTCTTAAAGGTTCTCCTGTTTATTGGTTTGGTTTTTTCCAAAACTGCCGGGAAATTTTGTGCTTTTCAGGAGAATGATGTGAACAAGCCTGGAATCAGAATTCTTCTGTTTCCAGGAAGAACACAAAATGCCAATGGAAGATTTACCACTTGATCCATTGTTTCCCATGGTTTGCAATATCATTGGAGGCAGATCTCTGCCCTAAGCTGGAGTTTTTACACTTTTGCATCTTTCCGAGCTGCCTCCACGTGTTTGCTGGTCTAAAACTGCAAAGGCAATAAGCTGTGGAGTCAACTTTCAAAAATCAGTTTGTTCGTTTTTTTAATATTTTAATGTTTATTTAAAATTTTTTTTCTTTGTCAGTTTCATAGTTTTCCCCATCAAAATCCTATTGTCAAGCTCTATTATGAGAATGAGGCAAACAAGGAACAGGCTGCCCAGGGAAGTGCTTGAGTCACCATTCTTTGATGGATTTATGATATGTGGATGTGGCACTTAATGGCATAGTTAAGAAATAAACTTGGCAGTGCTGGGTCAACCATTGGACTCTGTGACCTTTAGGGTCTTTCCCAACCAAACAATTCTGTGAATCTGTGATTCTGAATTCCTGCTCAGAGATCTCCTGTCTCTTGGTTTTCCCAGCTGAGTAAATTGAAATTCTTTAGGTAAGAGGATGTAGCTGGTCCCAGGGTGCCAGGGTTTAGGAGCACCTTACCCAGCATTTAATTCAGCAGCCAGATGTTAAAAGACTTTCAAAACTGGAATAATGAATAATAAGGGGTTTCTAAACATTCGTATGTGATGAGAAGGCTGCTGATCAGTGGAGCTTAGGAATATTCAAAAACAGTACAGAAGGGAAAGAACCTTCTTCAGCTTGTCAATCTATAAGCAAGTACAAAATAATCTGTTGTTCCAAGTTCCAGGGAAAGGTCTTTTGCTCAGGAAGAAGACATTGAATTGTCAGGTAAGCACAGAAAACATTGGACTGACATCCAAATAAAATACAGCAGCCAAGACAGACTCAGTCCAAGAGGAATATAGAATAAGCATAGGATCAGGGTGGTTTGGGTTGGAAGGGACATTAAAGCTCATCTCATTCCAACCCCCTGCAGTGAGCAGGGGCACCTTCCACTGTCCCAGGTTGGTCAAAGCCCCCTCCAGCCTGGCCTGGAACACTTCCAGGGATGGGGCAGCCACAGCTTCTCTGGGCACCCTGTGCCAGGACCTCCCCACCCTCACAGGGAAGAATTTCTTCCCAATATCCCATCTAACCCTATTCTCTTTTAAGGCTTCTCCCCCTTGTCCTGTCACTCCAGGTCCTTGTCCAGAGCCCCTCCTGAGGAGGGGACAAAGGGGGGTGCTGAGCTCTTCTCCCTGGGATTTAATGTCAGGATCCATGGGAGCTGTCCAAAGCTTTTAGCAGCGAGGTTCACACTGGATATTGGGAGACATTCTGTACCAAGAGGTTGGTCAGACCCTGGAAGAGGCTTCCTAGAGAGGCCCTGATGCTCTTTAATATTACAGTGCCATAACTTCTGTTCAACCCTTAAGAGGTCAGGCACTTGGACTGTAGGATGTAGGTCCCTTCCAACTGGAAGTGTTCTTTCTCTTCTGTTTAGCTATCCCATGCATCCCATTTCCATGTTTGAGGAAATGAGTCATGGGTTATTTGCTAATAATGATTTCCATATTTGCTGCTTACTGAATAATCTTACTTTTATTATTAATTATTCCCATATTGGCCACTTACCTGGTTAATCTTACTTACCGACACGCCTGTGTAGTGATTAATGCTCTCAGTGTACAGGAGTGTTAAGTGGCTCATGATGTGATTCAGGTGTTGTTTGGTTAATGAAAAGTCAAATATAGAGTCATAGAATCATTTATGTTGGAAGAGACCATCAGTCCAGCACCACCACTGTGTTCACCTTAAACCACGTCCTGAGGTGCCGTAGCCACATGTTTTTGAACACTCCAGGGATGGTGACTCCACCACTGCCCTGGGCAGCCAGTTCCAGTACTTTACTACCCTTTCCATGGAGAAATTCTTCCTGTTGTCCAAACTCCCCTATCCCCTTGTAGTCTAGGATGTGACTTGTGCTGATGCAGAGATGTTTCTCCAGTGATGGGGCTGTGCTGCTCATGCAGCTGAGAGGGAAACATGGGATTGCAAACAGGAAGATGATCCAGTGTTTCTCTAGAGCCATGTCCCACCACATCCATCCCCATTCCCACTCATGCCCAGTGAGGTTGGACAGTTAACCCTATCCATGTGTTTGGGACAGGGCACTTTTACCAGCAGGAAATGAGCAACCACGTCTGAGCTCTGAACTCTCATCAGATGGGACTGGGCTTTGTCACTCTGGCAGGGCTGCATTTAAAACTCCTGTTTTTCTTTCCTAATAACTTACTCACTGTTTTTTCTGCTCAAAAGCCCTTTGCTGCATATTGTCCCACCGAGGAAGTGACTCAGAGCATCATTCACAACATGGGGTTTGCAAATTGTGATCTTGTCCAATTTGTTTTTTTTTAGCAAAACACTGGTGGGGAGAGGTGGTGAATAATTTTGGAAGCTTTTAGAAGCTTTTGGAGGAGCAGAGCAGATGGAATTCCCTACAGCTAGAGGGGGATTAGGGGGATTAGTGCTGGAGTATGTTGGGTGATTCAGTGTGTTAGGGGAAGCCTTGCAGAGACTGGATCAGGATATGCTGCTTTGGGGTGTAGTTTTCCCTCTAGAGGTTCTGTTGCTGCTTCTGGATGTTTAAATGCATTTATTCATGCAGGTCTTCCAAGAAGACTGAGTTACTTTCATTTGGACTATCTGCAATATGGGGAAATAATCAAAGATTTCACAATTAAATGTTACAGTTAAAATTGCCTTTGGCTGTTGGGAGATGAAGTGACCTCTCCTCTCCCCTTGCATTTTTGATATTTCAGTTAATGTCACCAGAACCAAAATCCTACTGCCTGAGCCTACTTTGCAGTCTGCACCTTTTCTTGCAACGGCTCCCCACTGCCCCAGGTTAGATGGGATATTGGGAAGAAATTCTTCCCTGTGAGGCCCTGGCACAGGGTGCCCAGAGAAGCTGTGGCTGCCCCATCCCTGGAAGTGTCCAAGGCCAGGTTGGGCAGGGCTTGGAGCAGCCTCATTTAGTGGAAGGTGTCCCTGCCCATGGCAGGGGGTTTGGAATGAGAGGAGCTTTAATGTCCCTTCCAACCCAAACCACTCTGTGATTCTAATGAGGAACTTCCACACTTCAGGGAAGGCTGTGCAGTGCCACTGATGTAGCTGACCATCTTTTTAGGCTTCCTGAGCTGGCTATCTTCTCCCAAAGTGTTTTTTTGGTTGGTTTGTTTGTTTTGGGGGGGTTGTTTTGTTTTGGGGGGGTTTTTTTGTGTTTTTTTGTTTGTTTGTTTTTTTAAGAAAACCAATTTTCTAGTGCCACTGATGTAGCTGACCATCTTTTTAGGCTTCCTGAGCTGGCTATCTTCTCCCAAAGTGTTTTTTTTGTTTGTGTGTTTGTTTTGGAGGGGGGGTGGGGTGTTTTGTTTTTGGTTTGGTTTGGTTTTTTTTTTTTTTTTTTTGTTTTGTTTTGTTTTTTTAAGAAAACCAATTTTCCATCTCCCTTTTGAAATAAACAGACCAGTTCAGTTTTACCAGTAATTTGCTAGCTATGAGAAAAACAGTTTGGATTCATCTGCAAGTCAAATTACTTTAAAACTGATGATTAGTGAAGAAGCAAACTGAAACCTGAGTGGAGAAATGATGCCTCATGTGTCTTCATGTCTTGTGCTGGTAATCAGAAAGGTGTGGGGTGCTATGAAGAAATAAATGTACTTGGTTCTCCTACAAAACTCTTGGCAGTGTCCATGTGTGTACATCCCTGCATGTCCAGGAGACATTTCCTTGTCATCTGTGCAAGAGGAAGCAGGAATTCAGGGAACTCAGCCAGCTGACAGGATTTTACTCACAGGTGCAGCTGCACTTCACAAGAGCTCTTGCAGCTCCACATTTCCTCGTTCCTGTATTTCAGTCCTCCAGATGTGTCATAGCTGGAGCAAGTGCTGTAAAGTCTGGTGCCACTTTGCATGGTGCCACGAAGCCTCCTCTCCTTTTTATTACTGCCAAGGAAATAATTGACTGTATGGCAACAGGGAGGTTGCAAACAGCAGATACGATCTCGGGGACTGTCAGGTGGCTGCTGTGGCTTGTAGTTCATATTGGCCAAAATGTGGTAGAGATATTTAATATCAGAGTGGTTTGGGTTGGAAGGGACATTAGAGCTTATCTGCCATGGGCAGGAACACCTTCCTCTAGACCAGGCTGCCCCAAGCCCCATCCAACCTGGCCTTGGACACTTCCAGGGCTGGGGCAGCCTCAGCTTCTCTGGGAAAGCTGTGCCAGGGCCTCTCAGCATCCTCTGAGTAAAGAATTTCTTCCTAAAATTTAATCTAATGCTCCCCTGTTTCAGTTTAAATCCGTTGCCCCTTATCGTGTCACTATTTGCCCACATGAAAACTCCCCCCATTTGTGGCATTTCCTCCACAATAAATACATTCCCTGTGTGTTTTGTTTGTTGGATTCTGCAGGTGGTGAGGAAGTGCCCCAGGTGCCACAGTGATGTGAAGAGGCAGCGATTAATCCAAGTTTTCTTCTGGTCCTGATGCCACCCACAGAAAGGGCAGGAAGCCCTTTGTGCCAGCAGAAGGCAGAGGCTGTGCTCTGGCTCTTGCTGAGCAGGAGCAGGATGGAGGTTCCTTTAAATCCCTGTGATCCTTGTCTCTGGACTGGGAGCTGAGCACCAGCACAGATCATTTTCCAGCAAAGGTGGCCAAGTCTGAAAGGTCTTACTGCAGGAGACAAAGCAGAATGTTGTCCTCTGTTAGAACTAAGGAAGTTAATTTTTTATGTATTTTATCCCCTGAATTCTCCTGTGGCCACTCTTAGGCTGAAATTTTATATCCTGGAGGCAGCTGTCATTTTATGGGCCCTTCAGGTAATACCAAATCATGGAAAAACCCCAGGAATGCTCCTACAATGGAACTGAGCTGGCTGAGGATGCCAGATTACCCATCCCTAACCCACTAGTGTTCCTGGAAGAGGTGATTCACATCCACTCTTTGGGGTTTGGCAGCAGCCATTGTCTCCAGCAGCAGAAGACACTGAAAGGATCATTTTTTACAGATTTTTTACAGAATTCCACAGTGGATAGTGAGCAGAAGCTCCTCTCACCTGCAGTGCATCCCAAAGCCTGATCCCATCATCCACCATGGTGGGATCTTCTGGAACATGCTTCTAAGGGGCTTTATTCTTCACTCAGTGCTGGTATTTCCATGTGCCTGTGCTACCTGATTTGCTTTCCAAGAAGAAAGATCTAAATGTTTTAAAACTTTTACATTAATCAAGTTAGATGTGTTAAAAAAAATTCCTTAATATTTCCACTCTCTGTGAGTAGTGGATATAAGTGGTTAACCTAAAAAGTTATATCAGTTTTAAATCTTCTGTAACTGCTGTAAATTAGGCTGTAAAATAAAACAATTTTGTCTAACTTTTATTTGGTTATATTAAAAAAACAGGAATTAAAAAAAACCAAACAGATATAAAAACATTGGCTATCGAGTCCTAATGGCCCTGGTAGGAGCAAGTGGAAAGGCTGTACTCTGTAAGTGGTTTTCATATGAATGGAATTTAGAAAATTTTATGTTAATAAAATTTTATTCTTAGTAAAATTGAAAAGTGAGCTGCATTTTAAAAAATTTCCAATTTCTCCTGATTATAGAATTCAAACCCAGTGTCTCTTCAAATCTCAGAGTTGCTGGCAGTGAAATGGAAACTTTTGTGCTTCACTAACAGTTAACAAAGGCTTAGGCAGGAACTGAGGTAGTTCTGGGCTAGCATATATTCTGTCTTGTTTAATTTTGTGGATGAATATTACCTTCTAGCTGCAGCCAAACAAGAATAAATAATCAGATAAAGTCCTGGATGTTTCAAATATAAGTGGGGGAAATGACAGAAAAGTGTTCTGTAAATACGGGCATGTTGTAAAAATGAACAGAAAAATATTTGGAGTGAGGCTGGGAGCAGTGAGCAGTAAAATGTCGTTTTTTGGTGGGTTGCTCAGTGCCTGCTCTCCTGGAGAGGTGTCCCCAGGAAAGTGCAGCTGACAGCTTGTGCCGCTGGAGGGAAGCCACAGCACAGCCAAGAGCGTGCTCGGGGCGGTGACACCACGGCTCGGCTCGGGTTTGCCCTGGGAATTATCTGCCCTGGGCTGCAAAAATGCTGCCAGATCCAGCAAGACAGAAGGAAATACTTGAGAATTGTGGGGTTGAATCCCTCCACACGCTTGGAAAGGGGTTGGCTGCGACAAATGATTCTGCTTTTTCCCCTCAGCTGAAGCAGTTTTAAAGCTGTGCCTTTTCCTGGAGTTGTTTTAGTCTGAAGGCTGTTCCAGCCTGGGGATGCTCTGTTCTAGACAGGGTACAGGAACAATGCTAAGAATATCTCAGAGCCTTCAAGAGATTCACAGAATGGTTGGGGTTGGAAGGAACCTCTGGAGATCACCCAGTCCAACCCCCCTGCCAAGGAAGGGTCACATGGAGCAGGGGACACAGGAAGGCATCCAGGATGGTTTGGAATATCCACAGAAGGAGACTCCACGCCCTCCCTGGGCAGCTGTTCCAGTGCTCTGCCACCTCCATGGAAAGCTCTTCCCCATGTTGAGGTGACAATTCTTGAGTTTTAGTTTATGGCTGTTGCTCCTTGTCCTGTTGCTGAGCACCATAAAAAGAGTCTGGCACCCCTTGGAAATATTTATGTGCATTGATGAGACCCCTCTGAGCCTTCTCCAGACTAACCAGGCTCAGAGATGCTCCAGGCCCTTCATCATCTCTGTGGCCTCTGCTGGATGCTCTCCAGTAGCTCCTTGTCTTTCTTACATGGAGGGGAAAACTTGCTGAGGGTTTTTCTCTCCCTTCACCCAGGACATTCCATCCCTTTGTCCAGGGAACTCCTTCTCTTCATCTCTCACTCTTCAGCAGAGGGATTATCTTGCTGAAGAGGTTCACAGTCACTGCCCTTCAGCAGCTGAACCCACCCAGACGAGCTCTGAACACACCAGTGTCCCTCCAGTCGATCTGCCAGTGCACCTGGGTTTGGTTTGGGTTTGGTGCTGATTTCTGGTGCACTGGGAATTGCACTGCAGTGGATCTGGGAATCAGTCCCTGCTGTTGGTGGCTGAGGCAGGACAGATGGATGCAAATGGGTCCTGGAGATGGGAGAACTGGGTGAGCTTTGGGTCCCTCTCAACCCAAACCCTGCTGTGATTCCATGAGACCTTGAAGAAGAGGGTCCCCAGCAGTCAGGACTGTTCTGTTGTCTAGAAACTTGTTGAATTTACAAGAAGGAAAGACAGGGACAGGTAATTAATTATAAGAAACAGAAAGTGAGAAAACTCTTTCAGAAAAATCTGTATTGCTTTAGGTGCTTAGAGGAAATTATGCAAACTACTTAATTCTTGGGGGGACAAAAACCTTTCCCTGGACACTCCTTGCTGATTTTCAGAAGCAAATGACACATGGCTTACAGATCATGAAGGAAGTAGATACTAATTCCTTTATTTCCCTTGCCTTGCAGTGCTATGACTAGACCTAGAACATTGTGGTGTGTCATTGAACAAACTTTTCCTGCTGTTTTTTTCTCCCCCCACAAAAAACTGAAGACTCACAAAAGAGACCAAAATCAGCAAAGCAAAATGTTTCATCAGGAAAGAGATGAGCTCTGTCTCTGGCTGGCAAAGTGATTACTGATGGGAAGCAAGGGATTTCTTTGCTTAACAGAATTTTCTATGAATATAACAAGAAACCTTATTTTACAAGAGTGGTTTTGGAAGGTGGTGCTGCTGGATGCCCTGGAGTGTGAAACTATGTCCTGTGTGGAGAAGTGAAGTCAGAGCCATGGCAATAAGATGCTGAATTCCATTTCTGTGCTACCTCCACTGGCCAGAGTCAGCAGTGAGTTGTGTTGCTGCTTTCTGGTACTCGGGCAGTGACCCCTGAACCCATTCTGGGAGGTTTGTTGGACCAACAGAACAGACAGAAAAAGATTAATCAAAGGTCACTGTTCCTCCAGAGTGTTGGAGTCTGGGGACCTTGTCTGGGGAAGCCCTTTCTGTCCCATTAACGTGGTATTTCTCCAGGACACATCCATTAACGTGGACACTCTCCAGGAGCGTCCATCTGACACATTTTTGTCGTTATCAAACTCACAACAAAAACAATTGTTGTTGAGGCATCACAGTGCAGCGAGGAGCTGCAGGCTCGGAGTTTCCCAGTGCATTGTGTCCATCCCAGCAGGGGCATGGCTGGGACACAGGCACTGCCAGCAGGTGCCATTCAGGATGTGACCACCTGCTATTGTTTCATACACCTTGTGGGTTCCATGTGAAATCCAGGGACAGAAAACTGAAATTGTGCTTCTGCCTGTGGAGAAGGAAACGCTCTGCAGCTCCTGGGTGGTCAAGCCTCAGGCAGAGGAATCCCACTGGAACTCCCCAGCTGGGTGAGCCCAGGGCAGGGCTTTCTGTTGGATCCAGTGGTGAGTTTCACCCAAAAAAACATCCAGGGGCTGTGCCTCAGTGCCAGGGCAAGGCTGGGAGATTAGCTGATTAATTACTGAGCTGATGCACGCTGACAAAGCAAAATCCCGGCAGTCCTTGGCTCAGGGATTATGTCAAAATGAGTTATAAATCATCAGGATAACTTTGGACAGCTACAGGGGATCGAGATAAACAAGCAGTAAGATGAAAAACCACTTTAGAGTGACCTGTGTAAATCAGCCCATCACCTGTTCTGTGTGAAGTGCAAATAAACACAGCCAGACCCTGCTGCTGGACTGCAGTACTGACCCCCCTTGGCTCCTGCTGGAGTCAGAGGATTTTCTTTAACCAAGGTGGGTAGAAATGGACCTTACTGGAAGGAGCTTTGGATTCTTTCTGACCAGTTTGGTTTCCTTCCCTTTCTGGGTTGTGGAGAACTGGGTTTGATGCTCCTGGTGAAAGGTGTGTTTAGCTCTTGTAGGTCTGAACTTTAAGAGCATTCGGAATAAAGTCCACGAGATTCTCCATCCGCAGCCCCACTGGCTGAGCTGGATGAGAGAGGCAGAAGGCAGATGCAGAACTGTTAATTCTCTGTAATGGTCTGGAAGAGGAGCTGGCTGCTGACTCCTGAGGAGAAAAACCTCCACATCCTCTCAGGTCCTCACTGTGGTTCCCTCATCATTGCAGAGACTTGCATTTGCTTTTTGAGCATTTGCTCTGGTTTTCACTGTTCAGCAATGTCTGCTCAGAGGGAATCTCGTGTGACAGAGCAGGACAAAGTGCAGGAGTCCCGTGTCTTGAAGCAGGCACTGGAACACATGGTCTGCCAAGGCTGTACCTGCAAGGCTGAGCTCAGTTTTCATTTGAATCCTTGGGGTCCAAGACTTAGGGCACTGTCAGCTGTGGGGGATTTAAGTGCTGACTCCTTAGCTGCTGGGTGTTGTGCCACAAAAGGTACCCGTGTTTAGTGTTACACTTGGAGGTGCCGTCATCCTGGAAGGAGAGGGTTGAAGCTCGGAGCCGGCTTTAGGAATGCAGTGCCCAAGCACTGACGATCGGGGCCGTTTTGGCAGGGTCAGTGCCCTCGGAGGTGAAGCGGGATGGGATCTGGCCCCGGCGCCCCTGGGCAGAGCCGGAGCGATGCTTCCATCGGTTTCACTGCCCGCAGCCACAGCCAGGAGCGGCCCCTCGGGGCTGCCTTTGACGGGGCAAACTCCCAGCGAGAGGCAGCTGCTGTTGCTGGGAAGTTCTTTGGCGCTCACAGCCGGGGAACTGAACGTTCACAGGGGAATTTCCCTGCCTTTCCCCTTGCCAGAAAACGATTTCTCACCAACCCCCTGTAAAACTTAGAGAGCTTTGAAAAACAGTGCGAATCCCACTCTCCTCCTTCCTCCACACGGGTAAACAAACTTCATTGCTCTGAAAGCTCCACTTTAGAGGCGAGTTCAGAAACGAGAGCGAAAGCGGCTCGGGTGAGGGAGGGCTCCGGGGCGCGAAGGCGGAGCCGGTGCCGCCGCGGCGGGGGATCGGGAAGGGGGCCGGGATGGCGTCGGAGGGGCCGGGATGGATGTCACCTCCCCTTGCCCAAGAGGGGTCTTTCCTACCGGCCGGTTTATAAAGGCGCTGCCGGCCGCGGGGAGCGGAGGTGCGAGGCGGAGGTGCGGTGAGCGGAGCCGGTCCCGAGGGATGGGATGGGATGGGAAGGAAAGGGAGGAAAGGGAGATCTCGGCTGCTTCCCCACCAGCTCCTGCTCCCTCCGGGCTGCGGTGGGCTGGGGGTGGTTTCCCTCCCCAGGGCGATTCCACGTGTCTGGCACTGCGTGGGTGCGGGGGTGCCCAGAGCCTCCCGCCCGCAGCCGCTATAAGGCTCGGCTCCGTCCCTGCGCTGGGAGAGCCGGCATCTCCCTCCGAGGAAGGGCTGACTCGGAGGAAAGCAGGCGAGGAAACCCAGTCTTTCCCAACAGCCCTTCCCTATCAGCCCTTCCCTATCAGCCTTTACCTATCAGCCCTTCCCCACCTCCCTCTGTTTTTACGCTGGCCGGTCGGGCTGAAGGGCTGCTGCAGAGAG